GGGAAAGGATTCTAGTGTTGCTTTTGGTATGGTGAAGAGGATATATGGAGTGGAAGAAAAAACACAGACAGACATATTGAGTGAATATGAAGATTTATTCACAGGATTGGGCTGTGTCCCAGGAGTTCACCATATTCAGGTAAACCCAGCTGTTACACCAGTGATTCATCCTCCTAGAAAGGTCCCAGTAGCCCTGAAAAAAGACATTGAAAAGGAATTAAAAAGGATGGAAAACCTTGGTGTCATCGAAAAACAAACTGAGCCTACAGAAGGGTCAGGAGCATGGTGACTGTTGTGAAACCAAACAAGATAAGGATATGCCTTGACCCACAGGACCTAAATAAAGCAATACAAAGAGAACACTATCCTCTGAAAACTGTGGAGGAAGTTGTGGCTGAAATGCCAAAAGCAAAGGTCTTCTCAGTTGTGGATGCAAACCAAGGCTACTGGCAAATCCAGTTGGTTGAAGAGAGCTCCAGACTTTGTACCTTTAACTCACCCTCAGGAAGGTACAAGTTAAAGAGACTTCCCTTTGGAATATCTTCAGCACCAGAGGTGTTCCAGAGATGCCTGTCACAGCATCTAGAAGGACTGGATGGAGTCGTCAATGTGATGGATGACATTCTTGTGTGGGGTGAAGACAGAGAGTCACACGACAACAGACTGAGGAAGCTGTTTGATCGACTGAGGAGCATAAACTTGAAACTAAACAGAGACAAATGCAAAATCGGACTGAGTGAAATCAGCTACATAGGGCATGTGCTTAGCGAAGATGGATTGAAAACTGACATGAACAAAGTGCGAGTCATACAAGAAATGCCTGAGCCAAAAGACAAAACAGAGCTACAGAGATTCATGGGCATGGTGCAGTACTTGGCCAAGTTTATTCCAAATCTCTCAGAAGTATCTGCACCACTCAGGAAGCTGCTGGAAGGAGAACCCACCTGGCATTGGGAGAGTGAGCAACAAAAGAGCTTCACACAACTGAAAGAGCTTGTGAGTAACACTCCAGTGTTAAAATATTATAATGTGGAGAAGCCTGTCACACTGTCAGTCGACGCCAGTTCTGGTGGTTTGGGAGCAGTGATCCTGCAAGAACAACAACCTGTAGCGTAGGGCTCAAGGACACTAACAGAATGCAAACAAAGATATGCTCAAATAGAAAAAGAGCTGCTCGCAATCGTGTATGGATGTGAAAGATTTCACCAATATCTTTATGGCAGACATGTTCAGGTTGAATCAGATCACAAACCATTGGAGACTATTTTTAAAAAGTCACTCCACAAAGCTCCAGCAAGGCTGCAGAAAATGTTAATGAGGCTACAGAAATACAGCCTGCAGGTGACATACAAGCCTGGTAAGGAAATGCACATTGCAGATGCATTGAGCAGAGCCAGCCTGAACACCACGCACATGGCAGACAGGAGGATGAGTTGGATGCGAGCTACGTCGTCCAACAGTTACCTGTTTCAGAAGAAAGTGTCAGCAGTTCAAAGATGCAACAATAGAGGATGAGGAACTGGGACTGGTCCGACAAGCAGTACAGGATGGATGGCCTGAGTCACGGAGCCAAGTTCCAAAGTCAATCCAAAAGTACTGGACTTTCAGAGAGGAGCTGACATATTCTGATGGACTACTGTTCAAATCTCCAAATTGGTTGTTCCTACAAAGATGAGAGAGGAGATGCTGGAAAAAATTCATGAGGCACATATGGGAATTGTGAAGTGTAAGGAACGTGCAAGAGACATCTTGTTTTGGCCAGGCATGGCAAAACAAATTGAAGAAGTTGTGCAGAAATGTGCAGTGTGCAACAAAAACAACAATCCCAGAGAGCCCTTGACACCTCATCCAGTTCCTTTCAAAATTTCAAAATTAAGTGGTACTGCAAGCAAGCCCATCATTATGGCACTTAAGTCTGTTTTTGCCAAACATGGTGTACCTGATGAACTGTTTTCTGACAATGGGAGACAGCTGATAAGTGCAGAAATGCGAGACTTTGCAACCAGCTGGGAGTTCAAACACTCTACCTCGAGTCCAGAGTTTCCACAGTCAAATGGACAAGCCGAGAAAGCTATACAAACAGTGAAGAATCTGCTGAAAAAAGCACAGGAAAGTCTCAAAGACCCCTACATTGCTCTTTTGGAGTACAGAAACACGCCTTTGGAAGGAGTAGGCTACTCACCTGCGCAGCTGCTTGTGGGAAGGAGGCTGAAGGCAAAACTACCTGTGTCAAGGAACCTGTTAAAGCCAGGAGTGTACAGACATGTACGGAGCAGACTGATGAACAGACAAAAGAAGCAGAAAAGCTACTTTGACAGTGGCAAAAGGAAACTCCCTGTGGTGGGAGAAGGAGAAAGAATAAGAGTCAGACAGCAGAACCAATGGCAACCTGCTGTCATACTGAAGAGACATGATCAGCCAAGGTCTGACAATGGGCAAATCTACAGAAGGAACAGGAGACACATTCTGAAAACCAAGGAAACCGCAAGTTCCCCACAACAAGCACAACACGAGACTGTTGAAAGTGGTCACGATTCTTTGCCACTGATGGAGAGCGGACAGCAGCCAGCAGGAACTGAACCAGAACAGAGTGACTACCAAGAAAGTCACATGCCTGCAAGGTCTCCACCACAAACACCAAAGTCATCAGTGATAAAAGAGTCAGTGAGCACTGATAATCATGCAAAAACCTCACGTTTTGGTAGACCTATAAGAGTTCCCCTTAGGTATCGGGGGTAATAGCTGAAACTGTGTTCTGTTAAGTTCTAACCTGTTTTATTGAGAAGAACTGAAAAAAGAAAAAAAAAAATCTAAAGAAAGGGAGATGTTATGTATTATGTTGTAGTACTGGAGTTACCACTAGGTGGTGCTGTAAGAATACAAGTGCTGTGCTGTATATGTTGAAGCTGCAAGAGTAAACACTGTTCAGTCTGATTCAAGCCGTCTCCTCCTTGAGTCCTATATATTACAGTAAAGGTTATTATCAGCATTCAGTCCCGGGTGAAATGACTCTGCAGTAGTTATGGGTATTTATCAGCTCCAGCTCTGATCTGCAATGATAGAAATATGACACCTGGGTTTAGCCTCTTTCCCAGCAAGATGCAATGACAGGCTGCCACAAAATACCATCCATCTCCGTCTAAGTAGCGCTCAAACATTGATCCACATTTAGTGGCACCAAGTTTGAGAGAGAGGCGGAATTAGTGAGAAATATATTAAAAAATGTAACCACCATAACATTTTCACTGGCCTCCATCCTGCTTTCTACTGTTTACTAACCTGCTCTCTGGCCTGTCTGTGACATCAAATATGATGCACCACCCACCCACAGAGCAACTGAGTCAGTCTTTCAACAAGAAATAATCACAATCTTTATTGGTTCTACTGAATAACCTATTGTTTAGATTGTAATATAATACAATTATAAGCCTCTTTCACGCATAGTTCCCCCAGAATAACTGTTAAAAACCTTTCAGGCACCTGTGACTTTCACTTTTCACACATACACTACTGTCCAACTCATACACCTCGGATTTAACAGTGTAGAAACACATTTTTAAGTTACCATACTGTTGTAACTGTGTAAATTGAGAGAAGTATATGTTACTCCTTAGGTCCACTAGGTGGCGCGATGATTTCAGTTGTTACCTGTTGGGAGTTAAAACAGAAAGAAAACAAACAGTCAATGCTGTGTACTGTGAGAAATGATGTAATCGAGCTGCACACTGTGTTCGTCAGGAACAAAATAAACTCCCTCATGTTCATTAAGAAGCCTCCCTTGAGTTACTACGCATAAGGAATTTGATTTTGTCATTATATTGTTTTATATATACTGTTTGCTAGTCTTTATACTTGTATCCGACTGTTTGCTACTTTTTGTATTTTGCACCTATCTTTTTTCTTTTGCACCCTACTGTTAGCTACTTTTAACTTTACTGTTAGCTAGTTTTTGTTTTGTTTGTTTTTTGCACCCTACTGTTAGCTTGGGTTTTTTGATACCATACTGTTTTTATGCACCTTACTTTTAGCTTTTCGGACCATGCTGTTAGCTAATTTTTTATATTAGCTAACAGCATTTTTTTTATATATATTACACCTTACTGTTAGGGGTTTTTTTTTGTTTTTTTTTGCACCATACGGTTAGCCAGTATTTTTTAAAAAATATCATACTGTTTTTTTTTGCACCCTACTGTTAGCTAGTTTTTATATTTTTCACCTTACTGTTAGCTATTTGTTTGCACCATACTGTTAGCTAAGTTTTTTACTGCACCCTAGTTTGCACCTTACTGTAATCCAGTTTCTATATTTGCTATATTTTGCATTTTGCTTAACATTTGCTGTTTTGCTTTGTTATTTTAGTTCTTGTACATTACACGATTCAAATATTTTGACAGCACAGTCTTGTGATTGGTTCTCTCGCTCCAAGTGAAAGCGTCTTTCGTCAGATGGACATAACCCTTTACTTGCTTGTTCCCGCAGTGTTACTGCTTTCACTCACAACACAGCCAAACCGGCATTTTCCCTGAAATGTTTCAAGGTCTTGAGGTGGGTATGCTGGCAGTGTAGATTTCCCTGTTGCCATTCATACATGACCCCACGCAGAAAGTCTTCTTGAACATTTCAGAGATAGACTGTATGTGTGAAAGGGGATCTTTTCATCCACATCAACACAACATAAATGCAAGAATCTCATGAGCACTCATTTTAAAGCAACTGGAAAATAAAATAACTAAAATAACTTTTTCTTTCATTTGTTTTATATTGTACGTTTCCTCACACCCTGACTTTAAAGGGTTAAGTTATCAGTTTTATATGTTAATATCCTCAAAATTTAACTAAAAACATGCAAATGCCACATAGGCTCTTATTAGGAAAGCATGAATGGTTGTTGAAAGTTTTCCCGTTCACTTCATTTCAACCTGAGAAATCAGGAAAATAGTGGCCATTAGATGAACTGTAACTAACTTATATCACTCTCCCCCTCTCTCTTTATCTATCAGTGTGTCAGGGAATGAGTAACCAGCTGACATTGTTGGGCACCCATGATAATCACTATGACAACATGGTGAGGATGTACTCCAACTGCTCCGTGGTCCTGGAGAACTTGGAGATCACCTACACCCGGGAGCACCAGGACCTGTCCTTCCTCCAGGTCTGTCTCCAGCGCTAAATTTGTGTAGTGTCAAACACACCTTTTACTCCTGCTGATCGTTTTAAAATCATCCATCAGTTTTTGGATTGATTACCTTCCTTCCTTCCTTCCAGCTGCTGGTTTCAGCTCATTTCTATGACACTTCATTTTTCTGTCGGAGTGACATTTTCCCTACTGTAGTGCTGCAGATGTGAACAGGGCGCTTTTTAAAAACTGTCTTTGTGTTGCATTTGAGGACGCTCTGACATTCGTGAACTGATGCCAAACAGCATTACCTTGAGGAGCTTAGAAAAATCAAAGCCCGGAAGACAAACACGGACGCTTTGAAAAGAATCGTGGATTTTACAGAAAGTTGCAGCGAAGCAGGTCAAAGCGTCTTTCACTGTGTCAACAGAGCGAGTTCAAAACAGTCCCTGCTCACAGCTGTGTAATGTTAAATAATCCCTCTGCAACAAGTCTCACATGAACTGTACAGGATTTCCTTAACCGATCATTGAACATATTAAGAATCAATAGATAGTTATTGTGTTTAAATTTTTGGCATGGGCCAAACACTGTCCAGAATCCAAGTAAATGAGGCATTTTAGGCAATAAATACAAATGGTTTGTTGCTCTTCAATGAATGGCAGATAATAATAATACTTACTATATTTAAACAGAAAGAGACTGAGTGTACTGGTGACACTGATCTCCTCACAGCAGACTTTAGTCTTTGTTGTGGATTAATATATTTTCAATTAGTTAACCAATAAACAGTAAGTAGTTAACATCCCTAAAATGATGTGAAACCTTTGGCTGCTTCAAAGGAAGAGAATCAGTCTAAATGCTGTTGGGTGACTGTTGGAAAATGATGAGCAAGAATTTAAAATATGTCCACTTTGTAGATGTAAAGTCACTGAGAGCACATCAGTGAGATCTAAAACAAAACAAAAACATACAAAAAACAAACATTGATGATTTCTTCTTTCTTCAGTCCATCCAGGAAGTTGGCGGCTACATTCTGATCGCCATGAACGAGGCTGCCAACATCCCGTTGGTCAATCTGAGGCTGATCCGAGGCCAGAACCTCTACGAAAACCAATACGCTCTGCTGGTGATATCCAACTACAACAGGAACACCTCTTCTGCAACTCTCAACTACACCAGTGGGCTGAGACAGCTGCAGCTCAGCAGCCTGACGGGTAAACCCACACACACACACACACACACACACACACACACACACACACACACACACACAAAACCCTGTACTGATTTACTGGTGAGGACCCTCACTGACATAATGCATCCCTCAGCCCCTTACAGACAAGGTAGTGAAAATTCTGTCATGATCTGTTATTATCCATATCTATGTTATTTTAATTTTTAACAATAGTAAGGCATATATAATAGCATTTAATTTTTATTCATTTATTATCATTTTTTTAGTGATTCTTAAGTACAAGCTCATAGATTATACATTTGTAAGCTGGGGTTTAGTGATACTTAAGCAGTAAAGTTGTGGCTTGTTTCGAAGGTTTTGTAACCTCTGTTCCTACGGAGGTAAGTTTACATACAATGGTCAACTATAACTATAAAATAAAAGAATGATTTTCTGAAACATAACATTCTGAGGATTTTTCAGTCAGAATCACTGCAAGTGCTATTATTGGCATTGAGTTATAGAAGTCTGAACACACATAAGGAGGAGTTTTTATGGAGCGCTCCAGGAATAAGTCCTAAAGCCAGGTAATTAGTTAGTATGTTAGTGTCCCTGGTTCCCTCGTCTTGAAGTTAGTGGGTTTTTGAATGTGTTTTTAGTTAAATGTCTAATATAGATTCTTTTGTTAACTCAAGCTGAAGAGACTTTCACGTTTTGTTCTACAACACAAAATACATCAGTAAATACCCCACTGGGAATTCTGAAGCTTTTATGTGTTTTAAAAAGGTGGTTGCTAACAAGTGGCTAAATGAGACTACAAAACATCATCAAGCTGAACATGGCTTTACAGCTGTGTTGCAGGAGAGATGTTCAGTCATGTGACTGTGATGTAGTTTGTTTATAGCCTAATGTTAGCTTTATACCACTGGCAAATGTATTTATGCTGCAAAAATCATAAAAGTGGTGTTCATTTGTGAAGATTATCTTACTGAACAAAATGTGTAAGTATCATTAACTTGTTTGTCACAGAGCTTATTTTCTGCAATTAAATCAAATCCCATAGGCTTTTTGATGAGGGAAACAAGGCAATGACAACTTCCATATTGGCCTATGGAAAAACATCATCCCTGGAGCACTCTATTTCAGCCTGAATATTTCCTTGAAAAGAAATGCCTGCAGATGACTATAACTGGGACTTATTGGCTGGAAAACAGAGTGGGACCACAGCATCAAGCCTCACCTAGTCCGAGTTCAAAGTAGATAACAATGCCACAGAAAATGAATATTTTACACATGGTTTTACCAAGGGTATGTCTAGATTCCCAAAAAAGGACATTTGGAGACTCCAAAGGAATCTTGGTAACCGTGGTCACATACTGAGGATAAAAAGGCTCCTTGTCCTGATTCTAACCTGAACCTTAAAAGCAAGTCTGAACCCTCAAACAGACCTTTGAAGGTGAGGACTGGCCAAAATGTCCTTGCTTTCCAAAAATGTCCTGACTTTCTAGGTCTAAAACTCACATTGGTTCTCACAATCATAGATATATAAGTACTCACACTCTTAAAATATGAAGTATACAAACCTACACACACAGGGCCAGAGAAAGTTTCCCCAGCAAATACACAGAGCTGGTGAGTAGTTCAAGGGGCCTTGATTTTATGGACTTCCAGGGCAATTAAACAGAACCAGTGAGTAGTACAGGGACACTCAGAGTCTTGAGCTTCCAGTGAATACACAGAGCCAGAGGGTGTGAGAGCAGTGGTGAAGTGGTAGTTGATTAGGGGGGTGTAGTACTGGGTAGATGGGTAGATTACAGAGGAGAAGTGGGTATACTCTACTAAATATGTCAATGACATGTTGGCTGATAGGTGGGTATACTTTAAAGGACTAGATAAAGAGGTGGGTATACCTTGTTGATAAGAAGGGCTGGTTACTTTTCATGGCACTATTTACTGCTCATTGTATTCTGCTTAATTTCATTTTACAAGCTGCTGATGAGTGTCAGGGATGTTGCCACGCTTGCTGTACTGGCAGCAGGCCTGGGAGGGTGGAGGTGGGGTGGAGATTGCACACTATTTAGAAATCTTCAGTCAACACCAGATTGTACTCTGGCAGCAGGAAATAGACCGCACCCTCACAAACTTTGGCTGATGACGTTGATGTTTCACAGTGCGTATTCACTCTGTCAGCGTGAGATCCAGCAGTGTTAACTAGACTTAAAGTGTTTTGTAGCTCTGCATCTGAAGCTGGAGGTGGTGGAGGACGTGATGGAACTTGAGTTGTGGTTTTGATGTGTGATATAATTAAGTTTACCTGTAGCAAAAAAAAATTTGAGATGGATCTTTACGCACAATAATAAATTCATTCTGTAGATTTATTGAAAATTTTGAATTAAAATGAAGTTTTGTCTTCCAATACGGCATTAGCCTGCGACCCTGTGTCTTCATATGAGGACATTACATTTTGGGTTTGCTCCACCTTATACTTAATTCTGCTTAAATTTGACCTGCTGTCTTCATTTGTGGACACTTTTTCAATCTTATGGAAGCAGGAGCACAATAGATCAGTGTACAAACAAGGAAAGCAAAAGTGGACAAGGCAGAAACCTGATCAGATTTTGTGATCAAAACTTGTTTATTTCATAATAATAATAATAATAATAATAATAATAATACATTTTATTTGTTGGCACCTTTCACAACACCCAAGGTCACCTTACAGATAAAAGATAAAATACAATAGCACAAGAGATACATATAAAAATACAAAGAGAATACAATGTGGCTAAATGAATAGATAAGGAGAATAAGACAGTTGAAGGACAGAGTGTTATAGGGAGTAGGAAATTTTAAAAGGTGTGTTTTGAGGTGGGAATTAAGGGGTCAGTAGAATCCAGAATGCGGATGTGTAGTGGGAGTGAGTTCCAGAGTCTAGGTGCTGAGCAGCTAAAAGCCTGGCACCCATTGAACTGAGTGCGCATATGGGGGAGCCTGGTTATGGAGAGCTTTGAATGTTAACAGGCGGAGCTTGTATTGTATCCGTTGTTGGACAGGGAGCCAGTGGAGGTGAATGAGGACTGGTGTGATGTGATCTGAGGACTTGGTACGAGTGATGATTCTGGCAACAGAGTTCTGGATGGATTGTAGACGGTGAATGAGTTTATGTGGTAAGCCAGTGAGGAGGGAGTTACAGTAATCCAGGTGAGAAGTGACCAGAGCATTTATGAGGACTTCAGTGGAGTGTTGGGTGAGGGAGGGCGAAGTCTGGAGATATTGTGGAGATGGAAAAAGGACATGACGAGACGAGATTTGCAGACAGGAAGGTTGACATCAAAAGTTAAGAATTTGTGATCTGACAACGGAAGTTCTTTACCAGAAAGATTAAATGGAACAACACCAGAGCAACAGATCAGGTCCAAAATATGACCCTTATTGATTGTTGGAAATGCAACATACTGAGTGACTTCAAAACTGTTCAGGTTGGAGATAAAGTTGTTGGGAACATAATTTTAGGTCTCACACGGCGGCACCAATTATGTTGGGAACATAAATTCAGGGCGTCACACTGAGGCCCCAATTATGTAGGGAACAACAATATTAGGCCTCACCAAGGGGACACCATTAATGTTGTAAATTGGCTATCGGAAATAATTAATAATTTTTGATAATAATTAATAATTATGTTGAATAATGTGACTTAATTAACCTTTAAATCACCTTGTGGGGCACCATTCCCGTAAAGGGAAAATGATAGCCAGTTAAAGATATCAGTCTCATAAAATACGCTGAACTATTAATTTAGAATTTTGATTAATAATTAAATTAATGACAATAACCAAAATTAACAGTAAAACTGTGAAGGATTTCGGGGGTTCTTGACGCAGCAATGGCAGACTATTCATTCACTCTTGTGCAACATTAAACAGACAGCAGGTATGATTCCAAACAATTATATTTATTCACAAAGTAAGTAAAGCAAAACCAAAACACACAAATTCTAACTAACTATATACAAACTTGGTGTTTATATGTGTGTGTGTGTGTGTGTCTGTGAGAGAGAGAGAGAGAGAGGGAGAGAGAGAGAGAGAAAGACAAAGGCGGGTGTGGTGATCAAAGAGCCGTTTGGCCTACAAAACAAAATGGCTGACAACAGAGAGCTACAAGATGGCCAAATCAAAGCTGGCTTCAGATCGGGGGAGGTGTTTGTCTGACCGTGTGGTCAGGACAAAGACAAAGGAAGAGAAGCGGGAACTTTGAGTTGCCTCTTTGAGTGTAGCTCTGTTGAAAGCCTATTTGTTGATGAGTCTATGTGGATGTGATTTGTGTTGCAATATTGGTCTGGATTCGTGCAGAGGCACAGCAATCACTCAATGACAGCATTAAATCACATACAACAAGTTAAACAGTCTTGCTTAGCCTGTAAAGCTGTGATAAAGCTATGCCCAGTTGTTACGTTACTGATCCTTGAGTGAATGGGAAGAAAGAGTCAGTTGGTGGTGTGCTGCTTTGTTAGCCGGCGGAAGAAGGCTAGAAAGAGCTGTGGTTACAGATGCAGTCTTTGACGTGTCCTTTGTTTCAAAGGTGAAACTCTGAGCAAGCTGGTCACTCGAGGTCTTTACAGAGTTAGACGCTGGATGCTAACTCACTTGGTTCTCCTTGTTGCTAGAAAGCTAGTTGCAAACCTTGTGCTTGCAAGTTTAAGTTCTCTGGTTCAGGTTTGCCTGTGTCTTGAGCATGGGCAAGTCGTGGTCCAAGAAAAAGAGAGTCTGTGAGCAATTGCCCTCCCTTCAGTGGGTTGGGGCAATGGAGCAAGGGTCTGGGTATCTGGTCTGGTCCAGGCCCAGCTGAGAAGAGAGGTGTGGGCCCAAGTAAAAGAAAGATTGTCTGAAGGGAACAGACCTTGTACAGATGCCTGTGTCATCACAGAGTCACATGTCACTGTCAAAGTCCTGTCCAATCAAGTTTTGAGACTTGTGTCTCACTGAGGTGTGAGTTGACCTCCTGTAGAGATGAATGTCAGATAGCTGTCTTTGTTTGAAGATCAAAGAGCATGCAGAGAGGAAAAGCCTTCACATGTCCAGTTTAGATTTTAACAAATGACAAATCATCAGTGCTCCTGTGAATTCCAACAAAGTCTAATGAGAAAATGTCCTTGGGATTGTCAACATGAATATTAAAATCCCCAGTTATAATTATATGTGGAGTGATGGCACATGGATCTGTTAAAATAGATGATAGTTCAGTGATGAAGGTGGAATGATGGGGACAGGACAAGGACAGGGGACTATTTTCAAACTGTCGCGATAGATCAGCGCGAGGCCACCGGAAGTGCATGGTTTAGCAATGTAAACAAACACGTGCAGCAGAGACTGATTTAAATGAAAAAAGTCATTACGTCGCTGCCAGGTTTCAGTAAGGCAAACAATGTCCAAGTTAAAGAGCAATGTTGCTTTGTTCGTGAGGGACCTGATATTGAAGAGGGAGAGTTTAAGAGTGACGTGGGAAAGTTTCTGAGTCCGCGACACAGGGATTAACACAGAGCAGTCAACGGACCTCCTAACTCGGTTTGGCTCACATGATCTCAGCGTCCAAAAGGAGCGAATGACGCGACTGTTGTCATCCCCGGTACGAGGAGTGTTTATTTGTTTATTTGTTGTGAGGCTGGGAGAAAAAGAGAGAGTGGATGGACAGGTGTGTGAGGTAGATAGTCAATCACGTGCGTAACTCACAGTGTGCTGGAGGTTGGAAGCGAGCATGCGGCATTCCAACATGCTCAGGTGAAGACTGTCTCGCCCATAGAAGGAGGGACGGTCCCAGAATCAAAGTGGATGAAACCCATATTATATGTGCTGCGCAAACAGATTGGAGCCAGGTATGGAGGTAAAGAATCCTGCTAAAACGGCCTGTGCCATGACCCAGTGTGGGGAGTGGGCCAGAAATAAAAGCAGACTTTCCAGAACTATTAAGAAGTTTAAAAAGATGAAAAAAATGAACTTTTGTCAGCTCCGATTGCCCGAGAGTGGTGTCGTTCCAGCCGCAGTGGACGATTACTTTCGTGATGGGGGGGGAGGGGGTGCTGACTCCAGAAGACCAGGACGTTTTTCCAGGATGTCAGCTGTCGTAGCCCCGGGGAAGCAGTGAGTGACTGCATTCGCGGAATGGATGTGCTGAACGATGGAATCACCGACGACCAAGGCAATGGGGGGGAGAGAGGAGTGGGTGCCTAGTTCACAGCAGTATGAGAGGGGACAGGAGCAGCAGCAGCGGCCATCGAAGAGGCCAGGTGTTCACCATGAACCACATCCGTCCAGAGTGGCAGGTGTGTAGACAGGTTTGGTGGGAAGTTGGAGGCTGAGACCTTAGGTCTGGCTCCAGTCCTGGACCACATAGCGGCTGGTGATGGGAGCGCCATCGCCGCAACTGCCGCAGGAGGCGGCGACGCATCTGGAGGTGGAGGAGCCGCCATCGCTGCTGTCGTCGTTACAGCTGTCACAGCTGGGACGCAGTCCAGTTCCACATGAGGAGAAGGAGGAGCACCAGACACTAGAACAGCCATGGAGACATCAGCAGGGTGAACAGGGACATCAGCTGGTAGCATGGCAAAGCGGTTTGTCAGGTTGAGGGACGGAGGCACGACAGCACGGGGATTCCCCCTCTTACCTCTGACCGCCACCACTAACCAGGGAGCCTGTGAGCTGGGAGTTGAGCACGAAGAGGGCCAGCGGCATGGTGATGAAGGGTCCCAGAGGATGGTGTTGGCAACGACTGAGTTCATGGAGGAGATGACTTTTAGACTGTGTGGCTGCAGTGTCGATGAATTCGGAGAGGAGAGTCTTTTTTCCGGAGTTCATCTGAGAGCCGTCTGATGTCCTCCCTGAGGTGAGTGATGTGTCTTTCTGCTTTTTGGCAGTCCTTCCAGGGCATGTTGGATGGTGAGGTGCATGGTGCCATGGCTGGAGCAGATGGAGGCTGGGGAAACAGAAAACAGCTCTGGCAGCAAAGGTGTTTGTTTATGCTTAGTCGACTTGCGGCTAGCTAGATCGCTAGTGTAGCTTCAGTGGGAGGCAGTAGAAACTTACACACAAAGACTCCAGTTGGAGTGCACGGCGTTTAAGTGGCATAGAAACAGGACGGTTTGGATTATGAGAGGAGGCGAAACTTACCGGCACGGGCCCAAGTACTGGGCCTGGTGAGGTGGGCTAGGTGGTTGCCGGCTGACAGGAATTTTCCCACGCTGTCAAACGCAGGCAGATCAAAGTGCATCTTAAAAGCAGAATTCAACGGCTAAGAAATCCTTTGAGCAGTTAAAAACAACTGGTATCCAAAGGGTAGGCAGTTAAAAGCAACTATAAAACAGAATCAAAATGCTATTTTGCTTATTTATGCTTAATAACATTTTTTGATTGATTTGATTTATCATCATCTCGTTTGAGGACGTTGGGACTTGATTGTAGTCTCATTTGAGGACATGGGGACTTTATAATCGTCTCATTTGAGGACACAGGGACTTAATTTCAGTCCCATTTGAGGACATTGGATGTTCATTAGCATCTTCTCTGAGGACATTGGGACCTTTTCATCATCTCGTTTGAGGGCATTGGGGCTTTTTTTTTAAGTGTTGTTTGAGGACATGGGGACTTTATAATTGTCTTGTTTGAGGACATGGGGATTTTATAATTGTCTTGTTTGAGGACATGGGGATTTTATAACCGTCGCGTTTGAGGACACTGGGGCTTTATTATTCATGCAGAGATAGTTACCAAGAGTATAAATAGTTCTTGCATGTGGTACAAATTAGGTTACACTTATTTTTTACTATTTATTTTTGTATGATTCATTTCCAGGACATATTTCTGTGTTAAGAGCAGGAACACTGCTGAATGCAATAGTAGGAGACAACTTGGAGGTGCAAGATTTGTTTAATTGATGCTTATATTGATATTGGATTATTGATTTCTTCTTTAGATTTATTGAAAATATAAACTGTAAATTAAATACAGCATAATCTGAGTGAAATATTCAAACACAAAGCATCAGCCCATTAAATTAAATAAATCCTCTTAAATCCTGAACCCTTTGACTTGGACCTGGAGAGGACTGATTCCATGACTTATTTCTGAACTCTATGATGCTAAAACTTCACCATCTTCTCCTCACAGAGATTCTGAAGGGAGGGGTAAAGATGACCCACAATCCTTTGCTGTGTAACACTGAAACCATCCAGTGGTGGGACATCCTGGACAAAGCCAGCAATCCCAGCATGCTTTTCAAAACGGAAACCTTCACACGTAAATGTAAGTAGAACTAAATGGACACACAGTCCTCCATAATAACAGCTCTCTGTAAGAAGTTTGAGCAGCTACATGTGAAGTTTACTCCAGAGGATTACTGCTACCTGTGATAGTGGATTGTAATATGGAGTCAGAGTATTTCTACCATCAGCTGATTTGTCACTATTGAATTTTACCGCCATCTACTGGATTTTAAGATATATGACTTCGATTTCACCGAGGTCAAATGTCCTGTCTCACAAGTTTAGCGAACCCAAAGAAGCCAGGGGTGAAACGTGTTGTTCGCCCTTAATAAAATCACTTTAACTCAGTTCAGTGTGTGTAGTCCTGTCTCACAATGTTAACAAAAGTGACAAATAATTTGTCAGGGAGTCTGACTAATAACTGGAGAACAATCAGTCAGGTCAGTTGAAACCTAGTTTACTACTACAGTGAGTAGGTGGAACATTAGTAACACCCATACAGACATGTTTTCTAGTCCCTGTTAAGTCTGCCAGCCAACATGAGCATCATACTTTCTAGAGAAAGGGGGTGTCCCAAACTAAGTAAATACCCTAGATATAAACACAAAACTGCTTAGCTGGCTCAGTCTTGTTATGACTGAGATCTTGAGATCTGAAAAATATTATTTCACCATGTACAGATTTAGTTCACACATCCACAAAGTTCACATGTATTTTTAAGCTAGTTGCACCATGTCAGTGGCACAGCTGAAGGAGGATGCCAGAGGATTCCAGGCATTTCCAATAACTCAAGCGCATTGTGAAGTCCAAAAGTCAAAATGAATTAAAAAAAAAGATAGATGTAATCACTTCCAAAATTCACAGCATGTTTTAATCAAACAAAATATTCTGCTCCAGTCCATATTTGATGGTGTTCAGCTTTCAAAAACAACATTTTCACTGCGGTCACACTCTGGCTGTCTGCACTTCAGGTACGCACCTGCACTGACAAACAGGACCATCAATTATATTCATTAAAGAAAATAAGACTAACTAACTGAATCCAATTAATCCCTATAAGCCTTTATAAGTATGATAGAGAATTTCTGCAAATACAGTGGATAAGTACAAATTCTGAAATTGTTTTATTTAAGTGTAATATTCTAAACATTACTCTAACAGGTACAGAAACAGCCCATTATGAGAATTTGTTAAATCATTTTTTATAAGATATCCCAGTAAATCATTTTTAGGTGGAATTTTGCTCATCACCCTTTCAGGTCATTTGAAATAACGAACAAAACATGTTTCAGATTTGTTAGTTTAATAAATGTTGACTTCCAGTTTGATTATATCTGGCTATATATTTTGACCATTGTGACTTTTTTTTTTTTTTTTTTTTAGATTTTAGCCCCATTACATGAACACATATAGAGCATGTGTGATATGTACTAAAAACAACAGTAGTTTTGTGTTCTTCTCTTCTTCTCCCACCCATTCATTAAAATGAAGTCCTGCCTATGGATCAACATTAACATCAAAGCGATCCATTCTGTAGCAGTGGTGTAGTCTTGGTGTAGTGTTTGCTCTGGCAGTTATGTTGCCATGGAAATGGTGGAGTAGTATTTTAGTGATGAGCTTGGTGTGCTGATTTGAGCACATTCTAAATGTCTTGTTGACTGTGTATAATATGTGTGTTTTTCCAGGTGAGAAGTGTGATCCTGGGTGTGTAAATGGTTCGTGTTGGGCAGCAGGACCGGATCACTGTCAGAGATGTAAACTAACACTCACTTGAATACACACCGATACAATTACTGTCACACTTTCCAACCCTTTCCCTCCCCGGCATTATCTTTGTCTCATCATCTTATCTACTCTACACCATCTTACCTTTCTCCACCTTTTATCCTCCTTCCCTCCTCTGTCCCATTCACTCTCTCTTCCTCTCATCCCTTAATTTAACTTGACTTAATCAACAGTTAAACCTGACCGACTTCCAACAGTCTAGACCAGTGCTTCCCAACCTTTTACCTCAATGGACCCCTTTTCTGTCACTGAGTAAACTGATGACCGCTGGCTTAGTGACATTTTTTAATAAGTATTTCATATTATATTCAATGCATAACAGTAACAGTACAGAACAACTGATAAACTGTAAAGCTGACTGAAATAGTGAACGTTATAACTTCAGGAAGATGGTGTAGAAAAGAGCAGTGTGGATGAATTATTCCCTATGAATATTACATGTGAGGTGAGTTTTCCTGATATTTTTAGGAACTGTTTATACAGTTCTTTGCAATTTTTTAATAATCATACTCAATAGGCTTCTTTTTTGATAGATTCAGTGTTCCTGACTTTTGCCCATTGTTGTATTAGCTCTTTGTTCTTTGTTTGTTTTAACTGTGTACTTTTCTAATGCAAGATGAGGCTCTTTAGCAGAGAGTGAATGTGAAAATGAGAAAATGTTTTATCTTGAATAATAATGTTAACTTTAAAAATTACAATTTCATTTAGTTTTCTACACAGAAATGAATGAAATGCTGATGTATGGGCCTACTGTGTACATACAGTACAGGCCAAAAGTTTGGACACACCTTCTCATTCAATGCGTTTTCTTTATTTTCATGACTATTTACATTGTAGATTCTCACTGAAGGCATCAAAACTATGAATGAACACATGTGGAGTTATGTACTTAACAAAAAAAGGTGAAATAACTGAAAACATGTTTTATATTCTAGTTTCTTCAAAATAGCCACCCTTTGCTCTGATTACTGCTTTGCACACTCTTGGCATTCTCTCCATGAGCTTCAAGAGGTAGTCACCTGAAATGGTTTTCCAACAGTCTTGAAGGAGTTCCCAGAGGTGTTTAGCACTTGTTGGCCCCTTTGCCTTCACTCTGCGGTCCAGCTCACCCCAAACCATCTCGATTGGGTTCAGGTCCAGTGACTGTGGAGGCCAGGTCATCTGCCGCAGCAATCCATCACTCTCCTTCTTGGTCAAATAGCCCTTACACAGCCTGGAGGTGTGTTTGGGGTCATTGTCCTGTTGAAAAATAAATGATCGTCCAACTAAACGCAAACCGGATGGGATGGCATGTCACTGCAGGATGCTGTGGTAGCCATGCTGGTTCAGTGTGCCTTCAATTTTGAATAAATCCCCAACAGTGTCACCAGCAAAACACCCCCACACCATCACACCTCCTCCTCCATGCTTCACAGTGGGAACCAGGCATGTGGAATCCATCTGTTCACCTTTTCTGCGTCTCACAAAGACACGGCGGTTGGAACCAAAGATCTCAAATTTGGACTCATCAGACCAAAGCACAGATTTCCACTGGTCTAATGTCCATTCCTTGTGTTTCTTGGCCCAAACAAATCTCTTCTGCTTGTTGCCTCTCCTTAGCAGTGGTTTCCTAGCAGCTATTTGACCATGAAGGCCTGATTGGCGCAGTCTCCTCTTAACAGTTGTTCTAGAGATGGGTCTGCTGCTAGAACTCTGTGTGGCATTCATCTGGTCTCTGATCTGAGCTGCTGTTAACTTGCGATTTCTGAGGCTGGTGACTCGGATGAACTTATCCTCAGAAGCAGAGGTGACTCTTGGTCTTCCTTTCCTGGGTCGGTCCTCATGTGTGCCAGTTTGGTTGTAGCGCTTGATGGTTTTTGCGACTCCACTTGGGGACACATTTAAAGTTTTTGCAATTTTCCGGACTGACTGACCTTCATTTCTTAAAGTAATGATGGCCACTCGTTTTTCTTTAGTTAGCTGATTGGTTCTTGCCATAATATGAATTTTAACAGTTGTCCAATAGGGCTGTCGGCTGTGTATTAACCTGACTTCTGCACAACACAACTGATGGTCCCAACCCCATTGATAAAGCAAGAAATTCCACTAATTAACCCTGATAAGGCACACCTGTGAAGTGGAAACCATTTCAGGTGACTACCTCTTGAAGCTCATGGAGAGAATGCCAAGAGTGTGCAAAGCAGTAATCAGAGCAAAGGGTGGCTATTTTGAAGAAACTAGAATATAAAACATGTTTTCAGTTATTTCACCTTTTTTTGTTAAGTACATAACTCCACATGTGTTCATTCATAGTTTTGATGCCTTCAGTGAGAATCTACAATGTAAATAGTCATGAAAATAAAGAAAACGCATTGAATGAGAAGGTGTGTCCAAACTTTTGGCCTGTACTGTACATATATATATATATATATATATATATATATATATATATATATATATATAGATATAGATATAGATATAATTATATATTGTTTGCTGTCATTCAGCTTCCACCTGTGGGTAGAAGCTTGTCAGGCTTGTAGTCCTGGATTTCACATGATGAAGGGCCTTCTCAGACTTCTTAGAATCAAAAAAGCCTTGCAACTCCCCATGTAGCCTTAGTGACCCCAGGTTGGGAACCAGTGGTCCTTTATATTCTGATTGCGTGTCAAACTTTCATTGCCTTGTTATTCCATTAAATGTAAAATCTGAAGACATCAGACCCTCTGTTTGCTACTCTCCCTGCACAGATCCTTTTTTGTACATTCAATGTATATTTTTAGTGTGTAAACAAAACATAATTATCCTTTATGTTGATGAGCTGCACCACCAATGATGTAATCAAATGTGTCTCTACTAGTCACAAAGTTGCAGTGCGCGGAGCAGTGCAGCAGAAGGTGTCGCGGTCCAAAGCCCATCGACTGCTGTAATGAACACTGTGCTGCTGGCTGCACAGGACCTCGAGCCACCGATTGCCTGGTCAGTGTCTACTGCATTATCCTGCTACAGTACTGTTGGCCTTAACTCATGATAGCTGCAACAGTTTGCATGTAGTAGGTGCAAATGTGTGGGACATTTTAAGGTAACTTCAGAAAAACAGAATCTTGAGACTTACCTGTCTCCATCTGTCTCAAGATCCTAGTTAAGTCACACGTTAAGCAGGTCCCATATCAGGACAGATGAGTTCTCGGTCAAGGCAGGCAGGTCCCAAACCAGGACCATGGGTGAGACACTGAACCGCAGGAAGCTCATGATGTGTCATCAGAGGTAGATCACAGCCACCGCAGTGAATAAGAGGCAAATTTGCTAAATAGTAGTCCAGATCATTTCAGTTTAGTTCAGACCAAATTATTTCATTAATTCTACCTCTTTTCTTTCAAAAATAAAATGTATCAACTAACAGCAACTGTTCTCTGTGGCTGAGTTGTGCTTCATTTGTTATCCACTCTTATACCTTTTATATTTATAAAACTACAGTTACACATAATGAAGACACTGTCTCTCCTTCTGTCTCTCTGCGTCTTCTCCAGGCCTGCAGGGATTTTAATGATGATGGAACCTGTAAAGATGCTTGTCCTCCTCTGACACTCTATGACCCCAAAACCCACCAGGTGGTCAACAACCCCAACGCCAAGTTCACCTTTGGGGCAACCTGTTTCAAGGCCTGCCCACGTATGGACTTTAAATTATTTTTTTTTATTGACTTCACTCCTATAATTCATTCTGTATATCACCCATTCTTAAGACTCGGGACAAGCCAAACGAACATTATTTTTGGGGATTCCTCTTCTGTTAGGCTGGAAAATATATTTTAAAAGTTCAAAGTCTTGACTATAAAATCTTGTAATGGACCAACCTTCCAGTGATTTAATTTTTTCTTAAACAGTGTACATGATGGATGTCAGAGGTAAGATCTGACAGAGTTGACAAAAGTTATTGTGACGACAAGACGGCAGTTCAATTCAAAATCCAAAAGGTTTAATCAAACAAACAGGCAAGGGTCAGAACCAGGAGATGAGGCAGAGTAACACAACGTTCAGGTGAAAAGGTAAGTGCTGGAATGCTACCGAGAAACTAAGACAATCTGACAGAGGACAAGGGGAAATGGGCTAGTATATACACTGAGGAGCTGATGAGGGAATAGAGTGCAGGTGAGGAGATGGGCATGGAGCCTCAGGTGAAGAGAATTAATGAAGGCCAGGCATGGAGGAATAACAGGATCTGTAATAACAGGAGAATTAGTCACCAAGAACAAACTACTGAGTGAATACTGAACACAGATCAGGAAGGATTTAAGACAGTTATATATTTGTTAACTTCATAGCAGTGGTGGTGAGGAGCTCTTAATGCTAATTAAAACACTCATTTTTAAACAATAATTCATTAGTTAGTTCCAGATTTTAAGGGCTTTTAACACATTTTGAATTGTTTAAAGTTGCTTATTCCTGTCAAGGAGAAGGCTGTGTTTTGACAAAGGGCAAGTTTAGTAGCTAAACTAAAATTCACCATTCCACGGTTGTATGCCCTAGCGCATTAGACAAAATTGCCCATAGTTTTTTGACTAACGGAAGTGCAGGGGCCTCAGGGATCGCTCAACCCCTTCACTTCCGGCGGTGCCCCCAGGGAATCGCCTTGTTGTTTACAAATACTTCCAGGTAGAAAACCGGCAGAGTTTAGCTATGTGTACATATATATATATATATATATATATATATATCACATTTTTCACGTCACTATATCACCGTGTAGACTAATCTGATGTTTGTAAAGTCTATAAACACAATGATTGAACAAACATTACTATCTCTGTGTGCACATTTTGTAATTAATAACATGGTTATCGTAGATTAGCTGGGATAACTGTTAGCTGTTAGCCCCGTTAGCGGTTTCTGTAGTAACTGAGTAACTTAATAAATGGTCCGTGAAATTTTTTTTTTTCCCAGCGGATATCTTAGTTACAACATGATTGAGCTAGCAAAGCAGTATTGTGTTGCTATGTGTGGTATTTATTCAGTTTTGGGAAATCACGATGTCTAGAAAGCATCAGTGGCTGCAGCTGACAGGGACAGTTAGCAAAGCTAACATCAGGACGTCATCTGTTAAAAGCCTTCCGTTGTCGGATACGACATGAAACTACTCCAGTTAGCTCAATCATGTTGTAAATAAGACATCCGCTGGAAAAAATATTTTTTTCACGTTGACGAGACAGCGTTTTGGGTGGAGCAGTCGCCATGGATGCGGAGTTTGCTGTTTCTGTAGGTACACATTTCCTGGGGACACCTGCACGTCTTGGCCCCGCCCCTTCAATTGTGATTGGCTAAAGCGCAGCATCGTTCAAACTCAAAGCCCTGCCCTCCCCCCCTCTCTAGTCGTCTTTCATACAGGGCTGCCGACAGATTCTACAATATAAATTGCAGAATCTGTCTTGAGAGATTAGTGAAAACATGGATGCTTCACACACATTGTACCCATGGCAGCACAGAAGATCTGTACGATCAGCACAATTTCAACATTAGAGTCACCAATTCAGTATCTTCTGACCTTCTGTTCCTGAGTTATGACATTGAGTGAAGGACAGAAAAGTCTTTATGCTGATTATGATGTCACAGTGACATTGACCTTTGACCTTTTTGATATAACACATCATGATTTTATCCTGCTAGACATTTGTGTGAAGTTTTGTCATAATTAACATATGAATTCTTGAGTTATGGCCAAAAACATATTTTGTGAGGTCACACTGACCTTTACCTTTGACCTTCAATCACAAAATTCTAATGAGTTTATTCTTCAGTCCAAGTGGACGTTTGTTTCAAATTTAAAGAAATTCCCTCAAGGTGTTTTTGAGATATTGTGTTTGGGAGAATGAGACAGATGCAATGTCACAGTGACCTTTGAACATCAAAATCGCATCAGTTTATCGTCGAGTCTAAGTGAATGTTTGTGCCAAATTTGTAGAAATTCCCCCAAGGCGTTCTTGTGCTATCGCATTTATGAGAGTGCAACAGACAAGGTCAAAGTGACCTTGATCTTTGACCGATGACCACCAAAAACTAATCAGTTCGTCGTTTAGTCCGGGTGGACATTTGTGCCAAATTTAAAGAAATTCCCTGAAGCTGTTCTTGAGATATCACATTCATGAGAATGAGATGAATGCTAGGTCATGGCAACCTTACACTTTGACCTTTGACCACCAAAATCTCATCGGTTCATCCTAGAATCCAAGAGAACCTTTGTGCCAAATTTGACTAAATTCCCTTGAGGTGCTTTTTAGATATCATGTTTACAAGGATGAGACGTACGTACATACTGATAAATGGACAGATGGATGACTTGAAAACATAATGCCTTCAGCCACGGCTATCGCCAGTGTGGAGGCATAAAAACAAAAGGAGATCAAAATATTTTATAAATCATATTTATTTCATGTATATAAATCCTTTAAAAATAATGTTTTGCCCCAGAAACAGAATTAGTGTGTTATTAAGTTTTACTTTAAAAGTGTTGATAAATGTCCTTAAGTGATGTCACTTGAGTCAGCTTCAGTTGAAGACTTCAAGTGTAAAGTGGCAGTGTGCAGTTAGAAAGAACTGAGCTTAACAGACTTATGTAGCTCGCTGCTCTTCCGCACTGCAGGATTCATCAGCTGCTGCACCACAATCTACCACCAGTTTGTTAGAGGAAGGGGTGCATTGTGGGTAATGTAGGTGCAAGGGAGAAGAATGTGGGGAACATAAAAGATGATATTTCTGGTTCTACTGCATCATTTTTTTTACTCTGGGCTCTAGTTTCCCGGCGCAGCGCAGGGTGGCGCAGGGTGGCGAACCCCGCGCAGAGCTAGTTTCGAGCAGCGCAACCCGAGGCGCGCTCAGTTTGGTAGTTTGGCAGACCGAGGTGCGCTGAGATGGGTGTGGCGGCGCAGCAGGGGGAGGTGTCGACAGATCCAGCTTGGCGCAGTGACAGTTTCGTGCCAAAAGGCTTCGCCGAAGGTGCGCTAAAAGCTCGCCAGCTGAAACCAGGTCTACTGTCAGCACAGGCGGAGCGCAGCCGGTGTAAGCCGAAGTTTGGCTGACCGGCGGACAGTGCGCACACGTCACCAAGACTTCACAGGCAGGTTTCCAGAATGTCAGGCACATTAACAATGCAATAAATAGCCAAAAAACCACTATTCAATGCAACTATCTGCAATCAGCACATACATGTATCTCTATATCGACTGTCTCGTCACATCTGATGTCAGATCAAAGGGGATTGGCACCGTTTGGCACGTTTGGCACGCGTAATGGAAAGCCAACCTGATTTGATTAACACAGCTGCAAACTAATGAGTTCACATCCCTCTCAGCCAACCACAAACAGCCACAGCATCAGATAGGGAGTATATATTCAGCATCTGTCATCTTAGAAAAGTCAAAAGAAAAGAAACAGAGTGAGACTGCGAGAGAGAAAGAGAGAGCGCGCGCGCATGAGAGAAACGCAACATTGATTTACAATTGTGGTGACCTCCTCCCAGGCTACCTTTGCATCATCAGCCCGTGGAGGTCTGCTCGCAGTTCCATATATTCGGACACTGCGAGCTTGGACCTCCCGGACCAAAACATTAGTTTCCTCTGGGAGAAGTCTGGCCGTCTGACGCTGCTGCTCTCTTCCGCCATGGCGAATTGAGTAAACTCTCATTACGCCTTCGCGTGGCGCATTTAAGGACGAGGAGAGGGGCTCATTTGATTGGTGTGATGTGTGTAAAACCCACTCCACGCCTTCTCTCCTCCCTCTTTCCGACTTGCGCAGGTAGGAGGGACGGAGGTGGGAAAGAGGAGTAGCTGCGCCAGGCGCACGGTGTGCCAAAAAAATCCGCCTGGCCACACCCAGTTGGCGAAGCGCAGGTGCGCTGCGCCCCCGCCTCGCCCGGTCTGCGAAACTAGAGCCCCTTAAGTCAGACAGGGTTTAAGGAGTGCAACAATACACCAATGGAGTCTTATAAACAAATAAAATTGTGCTTTGTTTTTATTTTATTTAGATAATTACGTGGTGACAGGTGGATCATGTGTTCGTACCTGCAGCGCTGGAATGTACGAGGTGGAGGAGAACGGAGTCCAACGCTGCAAAGCATGTGACGGTCCCTGTCCTAAAGGTAGACCGAGACTGAGACAGACAGAGAGATAGACAGATATGAACACTAAACAAATAACTTGACAGAGTCTTTCTCTTCCCTCTAGTCTGTGACGGAGTCGGCATTGGCACTCTGATCAACACCATGGCCGTCAACGCCTCAAATATTGAATCCTTCCGGAACTGCACAAAGATAAATGGGGACGTCTCCCTCATTGAAACCTCTTTCACTGGGTGAGACACTCAGAACATTTAGTTTGAGGAAGTCAAGATGACATTTAAACAATTCAACAGCAATGTGACTTTACAGTGTCATTGGTTACTTTGGAAAAGATACACAGATCTTTATGAACTCTTTTCACTGCAACTTCTTTCCACCTAAGAGCTCAACAAGTCAGAGGTTTAACTAAATGTTAAGGTTTACCACAGTTATTGAGACTAGGTCTGTTGTCTGAAACAGAACTTTTAATTTCCTGATGTGCAGTGAAGGAAAAATTCTGTAATCTTTGAAAGCAAGGCTTGAAACTAAGGTTTTTTCCTTTATTGGCTCTTCCAGGGACGCACACTATAAAATCCCACCCATGGACCCGGCTAAACTGGAGTACTTCAGGACAGTGAAGGAAATCACAGGTAGGTCAAAGGTCATTAATGCTTCTCCTCATTCGTCACACTGAATTGTTATGTTGAGTCTCCTGGTTATGATTGGTTCACACTGGTCTATCTATGTCCCAACCCTCAGCTTTGATCACGAGCTTTGGGTAGTGACCAAAAGAATGAGATTGCGGATACAAGCGGCCGAAATGAGTTTTCTCTGAAGGGTGGCTGGGCTCAGCCTTCGAGATAGGGTAAGGAGCTCGGACATCCAGAGGGAGCTCAAAGTAGAGCCACTGCTCCTTTGCATCAGAAGAAGCCAGGTGGTTCAGCATCTGATCAGGATCCCCCTGGGCACCTCCCATCAGAGGCGTTCAAGGCATTTCCAACTGGTGGGAGGTCCAGGGGCAGACCCAGAACACATTGGATAGATTATATATCTTGTCTGGCCTGGGAATGCCTTGGGATCCCCCAGGAGGGGCTGAAAAATGTTGCTGGGGAGAGGGATGTCTGGAGTGCTTCGCTCATCCAGCTGTCTCCACGACCCGACCCTGGAGAAGTGAATGAAAATGGTTGGATGGATGGTTACGATTGGGGTTTTTTGAAGTCTTCCTATTATGATCAGGTTTTTGGAGTCTTACTATTATGATCAGGCTTTTGGGGTTTACTGGTTGTGATTGGGGTTTGGGGTCTCTAGGTTATGATCAGCTTCTAGGATTTTCCCAGTTATGATCAGGTTTTTGGAATCTGCGGGTTATGATATGTTTTTTTGGGGAGTAAACCGGTTACGATCAGGTTTTTGGACTGTCCTGGTCATGATCAAGTTTTTGGAGAATCCAGGTTACATTCAGGTTTTTGGAGTATCCCAGCTATGTGACGCACATGTAAACATCATATCCTGGTTTCAGAAACGTGGATATGCCACTTGATAAATACCAGGATACTGTGTGATGTAAACATCTGATCCAGATTTCTGATCATTCCAGGTCTCTCAAGTTTTTCATATCCTGAATAACTGAAAATCGTGACACTAATGCACTTATAAACACATTCATTGGGACTTCTGACCATTAACTTTCTGAGACTTGGTTGCTGGTACAGAATTATTGACCATCTACTGACTGAAATTCACTGAATTGTGTCAAAAGCAACTACTTACAAAGTTTCTGAGAAGCTTTTACAGTGTTGTAGAGGATGGTTGATGTCATTGAACAGTGCAGGTACAGTCTGGGTATATATGTGTTTGTGTGTCCTCCAGGTTTCCTGCTGATCCAGTCCTGGCCAGAGAATCTGACCTCTCTGTCAGTGTTTGAGAACCTGGAGATCATCAGAGGAAGAACAACACGAGCGTGAGTCAGCTGATAAATATATTGTTATAAAAAAAACATTAAGTTTTGAATACAGGAATTTTACTTGTAACTTAGTATTTCTACCTTGAGGTACTATTACTTTTACTTACTGTAAGTGAAAGATCTTCCACCACTTTTTACTAGTTGAATATTGAATATATTTCATAAACCTCCCCTTATAATAAATCTTTCTGGTCCAGTCAGCACAGTTTGGCGGTAGTGAGGGCAAAGCACCTCCGCTGGCTGGGCCTGCGCTCTCTGAAGGAGGTGAGTGCTGGCCGGGTGATGATGAAGGACAACTCTCAGCTCTGCTACACTGGGCCGGACCAGTGGACCCGCCTCTTCAGATCCAACGACCAGACCACCAGCATGCGTAACAACGCCCCCCCCGAAGTCTGTGGTGAGTTCCTGTGTTTGTGTGTGTTGGGGTTGTAACTGCCATCACTGCTAATAGAAGTGAATAAAATGGGAAAATTTGCTTGTGTGTTTCAGAACAACAGAATCAAACCTGTGACCTGGAATGTACAGATGATGGCTGCTGGGGTCCAGGTCCTACCATGTGTGTGTCCTGTCGCCACTTCAACCGTTGGGGGCGCTGTGTGGCATTCTGTAACCTGCTGCAGGGGTGAGAGAGCTTTGAACCACAGCAGATTCTCCCTGCTGGGACTTGCACCTGTGAACTTTTTACCTAATATGCCCCCATGTGAAAATATTATTAGAATTTTGTTGATATTCAGTTTTTAAAGCTTTTGATGTTAGTAAACTTGGAGTATTTGCAGTACAAACTTATTACTAAACTTTTTAAATACACTTTACACAAAATATAATCAACAGATTTAATATGATGCATCATCACATGGGAGACATGCCAGGTGAATCGGATATTTTTTTTTTACTAACAGATATTACCATGAAACTTCCCCAGTTGATTATTTACACTAAGACAATTATGTTTTATAATACAAGTTTTCTGAAATTATATGTGTAAATATGAAACTGAGACATCATTAGCTCAAAATCTCAAAATTGACCAGTGTGTGAAAAAACACTTTTCATCTGGGGTGTCTTGCCTTGAGATAAACAGACACTTTTATGTATTTAAGTATATTCTGATGCTTATACCTTTATACTTTTGCATGGGTAAAGTTTTTCACGGTATTTCTATACTGTGGTATTACTACTTTTTCTGAAGTAAAAAGGCTGTTATTCTTGTATTCCATCACTGCTTTTATTTGGCACTTTACCTTACATGTATAAATCTGTGCTCTATGATAGGTTGTCCTTTGTGATCTTCTGTCCTGACTGTAGATTTCTCTTTGTGTGTTTTTGCAGCGAGCCCAGAGAGGTGGAGGTGAACGGCAGCTGTGTCGAGTGTCACCCGGAGTGTCTGCTGCAGAGAGGGACCCCAGCCTGCCATGGACTGGTCAGTCCAGCTTCTGCTGGGGTTCATTTCTAATGTACAAATCTTAATATGTGAAGTATCAAATGGTGCCAGACTGTCAGAGCACAGCCTGTCTGTTATCATCTCTCCTACTCTTTGATTGATTCTCAGATTAATTTGCGCTCATTGATATGATCAACTATGGAAATAAAATATTACATTTCTTGTGCAACAAACTAATCTAAACTCAAGGGTCCACTTACATTTGCTCAACTTTAAACCATAAATCATGTCTTCAGCATGGTCTTCCTCAGCTGGATAAGAACGTCTCATGGCTTAAACTTAACATACAAATAACGATAAGTTAATAAGTTAGCACTTTTCTCAATGAATTTCCTTATTACTTAGTGCTTTGCACCCACAAACTAAAGAAAATAATAATTTCATATAATTTGAATGATTTTGATTGATGAGAAATTAAAAGCAGGATAATGATTCACGGTTCCCACACATTTTCATGGACAAAATTTCAAATCTTTTTAAGGACTCATAATAAGTTTCCATTTCAAAAAAGCATGTGCTTCACTGTGTCTGCTGCACTTGCCAGCCCACTCATAGTACTTTTCTACACACACGCAGCAGAATTTCACTTTCCACAACAAACGCTGCCACACTACATCACACATACACATAACCTTTCTTTAAGGGGAAGGCTTGGCTGGTATTTGTCATGAAAAATGAGAACAGCGTGAGTTTTCCTTTTGTCTCAAGCAGCAAACAAGTTGAGTTAATTTGCTGTAATTGACAATGTATATTCTGTGTTGCAACTATTGCACATCACAATGTTGATGCTGAAACGATATATCATGCAGCCCTCAGTTGACGTATATTGGATTCACAATGGCATACAAAAGTTTGTGCACCCCTGGTCAAATTTTTAATTACTTTGAATAGTTAAGTAAGTTGAAGATGAACTGATCTCCTAAAAACATTAAGTTAAAGATGAAACATGCTTTTTAACATTGTAAGCAAGATTATCGTTTTAATTTTTGTTTTATACAATTTTAGAGTTAAAAAAAAAGGAAAGGAGCACCCTGCAAAACATTGTGCACCCCAAGACATTTGAGCTCTCAGACAACTTTTATCAAGGTCTCAGACCATAATTAGCTTGTTAGAGCTATGGCATGTTGACAGTCGTCATTAGTAAAGGGCAGCTGATGCAAATTTCAAAGCTTTATAAATACTGTGACTCCTGAAACCTTGTCCCAGCAATCAGCAGCCATGGCCTCCTGTAAACAGCTGCCTGGCACTGAAAACTAAAATAACTGATGGCCACAAAGCATGAGAAGGCTTTTTCCTCAGCTCATAATGTAATTAATAAATGGCAGTTAACAGGAACTGTGGAGGTCAAATTGAGTTCTGGAAGGCCAGGAAAACTTTCTGAGAAAGCTGTTTGTAGGATTGTTACTGTACGTTCACACCAAAAGCTGCCAGAGCTGCAAAGGCGACAGGTCCAATTCATTTTCAATGGACATGTGGCGACTAGAGGCGTTTTGAGCTGCAAAAGCGATGAGCAGCGGTTTGGCAAAGTGAGCTGCAAATCAAAGTTGAAGACTGGTTAACTTTATGCAAATTAGCTATGACGCGTTTGAGCTGCAAATGACCAGCAACCAATCGGAATGTTGATGTCCATTGCTTGTGTGGAACCCAGAGAACATCTTCGGAACGTTTAGTTCCTACCACACGTTCTTTCCTACTTCAAAACAAGCAGCAAGCTGTCAAACTGATCTATGTTCAGCCTGAAGTAGCGCTGGAACCTCTCCCCATCCGGCCGCAGCTCCTGCACCAGCCGATGATATTCCCCATGCTGTTCATGGCCCTGGAGGATATCGTGAACCCAGACCCGACGGCGGCTACATCCACGCAGGTACCACACAGCAGCACAAATTACAAGAGTGTCTTCTTCCTTGTTGAATCGATACACAAGTGTGGACAAGCGCACATACTTATACAATTTGTGTTCTGGAACGCTTGTTATTAGAATGCAATTCATTTGCTCTCCTTACCACCTGTTTAACTAATCGCACTGTAGGCATTCGAATCCAAACCATTGACAGTGTTTCCCCTAGGTTTACAGCTTTGGGGGGGGAATAATAAATGGGGTTTTCATTTTCAGTTCTGGTTTGGCCCACTTGACATGCTGCTGTGTTGTGCTACGGCCATGCTGGAATTTGTTATTTACGTGACAACGCCTGAACGCAACACAGGCTGTGTGTGTTTAATGTTTAATGTCAGACATATTTAGAATTTTTATTCTGTTTTCATTGTCCAAATGTGAACGTTTCTGTACTCAGGCAGATGCACAAAGTCACATTTCTGTGCTCCAGCCAGTAACCTGCTTTGAGGCTCCTTTAAATTGAGAAGCATAATCGAACGTTCAGAATTTGATGTCATGAGCAACTTGAGCTGCTTTCGCTGCCACAAATATTTATTTATTATATAAAGAGCTTTTTGAACACAATGAGCATGGGTATGTTTGGAGAAAAACAAGAATTTCATAAAAAGAACATCTGTCCAACTGTGGACAGGGGTGGATGGATCATGCTTTGGGCTCATGTTTCAGTCAGTAGCATGGGGAACATCTTATAGGTAGAGGGAAGAATTGATTCAGTTAAATTTCAGTGAATTCTGGAAGCAAACATCACACCATCTGTGAAAAAGCCGAAGATGAAGAGAGGACGGCTTCTCCAACAGGACAATGATCCAACACACACCTTGAAATCCACAAAGGACTACCTCAAGAGGTGCAAACTGAAGGTTTTGCCATGGCCCTCACAGTCCCCGACCTAAACATCATTAAATATCTGTGGATAGACCTCAAAAGAGCAGTGCACTCTTTGCTGGTTACAAAAGGTGTTTAGAAGCTGTGATACTTGTCATGGGAGGATCTACCAAGTTCTGACCATGCAGGGTGCCCAAACTTTTGCTTCGGGCCCTTTTCCCTTTTTGTTGTTTTGATACTGTAAAAGATTGAAATTAAAAAGTGATCTTGTTGAAGAAGTATGTAATCGTAAACTTCATGCATTTTTGAAACCAGTTCATCCTTTACTTGCTTTATTTTTCACAGTTAACACAATTTAAAACAGGGGTGCCCAAACTTTTGCATGCCACTGTATGTTATGTCAACAGCTAACTTACAGAACATAAGTTTGCTGTTATGTTATATTACGTGGAAGGTTATCACCTGAAGATTAAAGTAACAATTCATTTCATTATACACAACACAATTTTCCAAATCTTTAAATGATTCTTACTAATTCCATGACTTTTCCAGGCCTGGAAAACAAGATTGTGAAATTCCATGTCTTTTCCAAGCTTCCATGACCATGGGAACCCTGATAATTACTGAGTAGTGAAAAACTTTAAGAACTCACCAGATTTTCTATAAATGACTCCTTAGTTGCCTTCATCCCTCCTCTGTCCCCATCTGCAGGGTCCAGACCAGTGCTCCCAGTGCGCCCATTTTAAAGACGGCCCCCACTGCGTGCCACGCTGCCCCCATGGTGTGCTGGGAGACAGAGACATGCTGATCTGGAAATACCCTGACAGGACAGGCCAGTGCCAGCCCTGCCACCAGAACTGCACCCAGGGGTGAGACACATGTTACTGATTCATCCTGCAGTGCTCATTGATGTCTCTGATGATATATGGATTAATAAAAGTGAGATGAATAAAAGGAGTGTTGTTTCTCTGTGTCTGCAGGTGTTCAGGTGCTGGACTCTCTGGATGCACCGGGTAGGCACTTTGTTGCAGACTGTTTCAGTTCCCACTAGGCAGAATCAATTTTATTACAGTAACTTTCAGGAAGAAATTGCTATCATCACCTGCATAAAACCAAATGATGCTGAGCAGATGCTACCTCAGTTGGGTAGTTTTTAAGCCACCTGAAAAAAATCAACATCAGTTAAAGTGTATGCTATATTCGGAATATTTTCACCGCTTTACCTTGTCAGACTTTTCTGACATGGAATTAAAGTTGTTTTATCAAACCCGGCAGACTCCATTGTCATTTCACAACAAAGTTGCCGATTTTGCATATCTCAGCTATTGTAATCAGTCGCCAGTTTTCTATCCAGAGGTGATTTTTGTTGTCAGTGCAACATCACATTGACTCGGCCTATAAATCTGTGTGTTGTCTTCAGTCTTGTCTGCTAGTTGATCTCATTTTATCTTCTGAAAGCTTATGTCAGAGCTTCACAAAGATCTAAATAAACTTCAACATCTTTGAGAGAGTTAGACTGCCAGTAGTAAAATTCACAAATGACAACCTTTTACGACACCATGCCCCCTCGGACGAAAAATGTCCCCATTAAAACCCATTAAAATGACTTTTTTTTTTATTCCCCTGCAATTTACATAAAAAACATGATTTATTTCTATCTCTGGCAGTCAGGTTGGTAAGAGAGACCCAAGAATAGTAAAAAAAAAAAAAAAAAAACAGATGGGGCCAATTTCAATTTTTGGGGCCCTGCTGTCTTTTCAATGCAATTGAAAAGTTTTGGCCACTTGAGGCACTATAGGCCCCTAACAGGAAGGGCAAATGCAGAGTAGATCAAAAAATGGTCTTGCTGTGCTCATAAGGATGTGTATGTGGTCTGTATAAAAATAGTGCAATATTAGTTTGTGTGTGTGTGTGTGTGTGTGTGTGTGTGTGTGTGTGTGTACATGGGCTCAAAATACACAATGTCAAATCCCTATGTGAAAATATAGCTAAATGTAAAACCATAAATTCCGTATTTGTTCATCACATTCTTGTGGCAACTTAGAAACATGAATTTGATGATATTAGTCATGCATTCCAGAGTTAGAGGATCAAAATGGAAGTTTTTACTAAAATCCAGCTGAATCATTAATTTTCTCTTGCTTCCTCAGCAGAGCAAACAGACACACTAAATAATAAGCAGTAAAATTGCCTGTATTTTTCTCCTATTTTTTTTTCATTTTTGAGGTAAGTGAGCCAATTAAATAAATGCTAAGTTTGTGTTGATATGGATGTCTGGGGGTTGTGGCTGTGTAGCTACTAAAAAAATATTGTGTGTGTGTGTCTGTGGCTACAAATTGCAAATTATGAGCTGCAGGTTGGTAAGGTTACATTACTGTTCTCTCTCTCCCTCTCTCTCTCTCTCTCTCTCACTCACTCACTCACTCACTCACTCAGACACACACACACACACACACACACACACATGCACGCACATGCATGTGCAGGCACAGGCTTTCAAACTCAATAGAAAATAATTTACACATTCATATGTGCAGTGCATTTTTGTATCGATTTCAGTAGTAGTGTGATGTTTAGTGATATTTCAGGGGTGTGTGCATGTGTGAGTGTGTGTGTGTGCGTGTGTGTGCGTGCGTGTGTGACAGATCAGTTATTGAAGTACTGATATAAAAGTAAACTTGACTTTATCAAAGGTCATGTGCACGTGTACATGCACTTACACAGTGACATACACATCTGCAATCATGCAATCAGTTTACTGGACTTCAAAGGTGCCAATACGGAGTAAAAAAAAATAAAACTAACTTCATTTAGGTCAGTGTGTTTATGCAACTGGAGTCGGAGCAAAAGTTATGCATATAGCTCGGCTGACTCGTCATTGCATTCATCCAGCATGGGGAGGAAATACTGTTACACACTGCATCACTGACATATACCATACTATGATAATTAAAAAAAAAAATAAAAAAATCTAGCGTTTAGTGTATAGAAAATAATTCATAATTCATATTTTTTCATAAAAGTAACAGTGAGTCTATGGAAAGGAATTTGTATTTAAAGGGTTAAAATCCTCCAAATGAATGAATATGGTATGTATAACCTGGGCAGGAGTTGGTTAAAAGATTTAAGCAAAAAATATTAATGTTTAATATTTTTATGGTTGTTTTTCAACAAAGATGAAAAACGTCCCAAATGGGAAAGGTGTCGGTGTTTATTGAAAAATTGAAACTGCACAAAAAATAATAATGCATCAAAATTGGTGTTGTTAATAATCATTCACATATCCCAGACTGTGATGATTAGAAAAAAAAATGTATCCAACATTTATTATATAGAAAGTAATTCATAATTCATGTTTTTTTTTTTATATATATATAAAAGAAACAGTGACTTTATGTAAAGAAAATGGCATATAAATTGTTAAAAGTCCTCAAAATGAATGACTATTTGGTATGTATAATCCGAGTAAGAGTTGATTAAAAGATTTAAGCAAAAAAAAGTAGAAAAAAATATTAATATTTAATATTTTTATGGTTGTTTTTCGACAAGGACCAAAAACGTCCCAAAGGGGAAAGGTATCATCTTTTATTGAAAAATTGAAACTGCACAAAAAATAATAATGCATCAAAACTGGTGTTGTTATTAATCACTCACATATCCCAGATTGTGATAATTAGAAAAAAAATCCATCCAATATTTATTATACAGAAAGCAATTCATAATTCATTCAGGAGTTGGTTAAAAGATTTAAGCAAAAAACAAAAAAAGTAGAAAAAAATATTAATATTTAATATTTTTACAGTTGTTTTTCAACAAGGATGAAAAACATCCCAAAGGGGAAAGGTGTGATTTTTTATAAGGGGACCTGAGGGTTAAACATGTTAAAGTAACCTTTCCTTTCACCTGAATAACATCTCTAAAGGTGTATTCAGACAGGAAGTGTGGCCTTTGACCACATGTCGATCTAGTTCCAACAGTGCTAACCTTAGACTAACCTTCTGTTGCTGTTGTAAAGTCTGGAGAGGAGCTTTGCTAAAGTTAATTCCAGCTTGTTGAAAGAATTATTGGAACCTGTTCCTGTTTAACTCTGCTCACATCTTGATGCTAAGCTTCCAGTTTGTTTAACCAATGACTGCTGATTTCTTCAGTTACTCAGAAGGATCTTTGTCTCTTTCAGTTGTCAGTCTGGTTTAACCATTGTACAGTGTTCTCCATGTACAAAACAAACCCTTCATACTAAATAACATCTGTTTGTAACAAGGACTTTCTACAACCTAAAACCATCAGAGACCATTTAAACATATAGAGTGAATAATACTGTAACAGTTGAAGGACAGTTGATGAATTCTCCATTACTATCCTAAATTTGAAGAGGAGTAGAATGCCAATAATAAATGTGAGTCACTGGGAATTCTACCTTTACATAAATAAATATAAGTGGGAGTTAATGAGACTCATATCCTTAAATTTGAAAGCAAAGTAATTTCAGTGCTAAGTCTTCCCTTGCATGCTGATAACTTTAGATGACATATAAAGGTTCAAGATGCAAGCACAGGTGTTTGTTACCTGCAAGGCTTTTCTGCCTGTCTTACCTCCGCTGGTGCCAGCAGGGCAGCTGCAGGGTCGTCAGCTGGGAGCCACTCTTCACAAATGTTTCACCACTTGAATTCCAGGACATCTCTAGGTGGTGGGGCAGCGGTGGGGACATCTCCTTACTGCTCCCTGTGACTGGCCCTAGGATCCTAGGTTCCCCTACAGCCAGAAGCTCCCTTTCTCTGCCTCCTTGGCCAGTTCCCTGAATGCGTTCTTTCGCTTGGACCCAGTGATTGACGGTTTTTAGCAGCTGCTGGGTGAATTTTCCAACCAAGCCTCTGCATCTGACTTCCACAGGGTAGGTGCATGCCTTCCACCCTGCCTCAGTACAAGCCGCAGCAAGCTCACTGTACTTCTCCTTTTTCCTCTCAAAGGCTGCCTCCATCACTTCTCCCCACAGCACAGTGAGTTCTGCCATGATTACTGTCTTGGCACTCCCTCCGGTTGATGTTTTCCGCTTCAGCTCCTTGCCTGATGAAATGTATCTGTGGTTTGGAGAATGACAGGCTGGCTCTGTTGGCACTTGGTGGTGCCGCCATCTGTACAGGCCATGAGTCAAAGCTGAGCTGCAAGTTTGGATATTGGGCAGCACAGAGACTGCAGTTTGTTTCCAAGCCATACCAGAGATATATGTTCTGGTGGCTTGGGAGGGTGTCATATATGGACCTGATGAGGAAGCTCAGTGTTGCCTGAGGGATCATCCACATGTCTACCTAGGTTATGACCCCTTTTGGTGACTGCCTCCCAGTTTGTCCATCTTCCTTGATTTTGTATGTCTCGTCCTCCATCCTGATCACTTCTAAGATGACTAGCTCTTTTCTTTCCTTCTTCGTGGCTTTTGACCACATCTTAGGAGCTGGTCCTCACCCAAGCCCTGTGTTGCCCTGCTGTAACCACCCAACAGTCTCCTGATGCTGAAGTTGACTGATGGCCTGGTCAACTGGTTATACAAATTCAGCATGCTTAATCTGAATGGGAGTCAAAAGTTTTACCAGACCATGCTAAGTGAATTATAACTTAATGTGCCTAAACTGCATGAGTATGGTGAATCATTTAAATGGGAGTCTTGGAGAAATTTTACAAATGTTTTTACCTCTGTATAATTAATAACAAAATTGTCCCTTTGTGTGTCCTCACAGTGCTGCCACCCACTCCATGTTGGCGGTGGGCGTGGTTGGTGGGCTCTTGATTGCTGTCATTGTGTCATTGGTTATCTTTGTGCTGCTGCGGCGACGGCAAATAAGGCAGAAGAGAACATTGCGCCGTCTGCTGCAGGAAAGAGAGGTGGGAGAGGCTTGTGTTAAGTTCATTGATGCAAACTTTTTCAGTGATAACTTATTTCCCATAATGAAGATGAGACAAAACAGTTTTTGTTGACTAAAATATACTAAAAATGACGAGGAGTTTTGAGTACAGTATTAATAGTGAATATAGGAATTGCGAACAAAATTAAAACTAGAGAGAACATAACAACATACACAGATGCAGTGTGTCATCTGTATAGAACCCCTGTTAATATTTGAATCCCATGTACATGGGCTGTTTTGTTTTTGGAGGAATCAAATAAAGTTATTAAAATGTGTGTGTTGTAGCTGGTGGAGCCCTTGACTCCGAGCGGTGAAGCTCCTAATCAGGCGCTGCTGAGGATCCTGAAGGAGACAGAGTTTAAGAAAATCAGGGTGCTTGGCTCTGGGGCCTTCGGGACTGTCTTCAAGGTGAGGTTGTTTGATACATGCAAAATAACATTTCATGAAACTTTTACTGAAGCCACTATGTCTCAACATTTAAGCCTTGGAGTGGAAATGTAGGACAATCCACCACTTTATTCCACCGCAATATCCCGACAACTACTGGATGGATTGTCATGACATTTTGTACGAACATGCATGGTTCCCAGAGGATAAGTCTTATTAACTTTGGTGATCCTCTGACTTTTTATCCAGCGCCGTCATCAGGTCAAGAAGTTAATGTGTACAATACTTTGGTTTATGACCAAATACCTGCAGAACTAATGACATTCATCAGCCTCAGCTTGACTCTTTGTTTACTGATAATTACAAATGCTAACATGCTAACACGCTAAACTAAGATGGTGAACATGGTAAACATTATACCTGCAAAACATCAACATGTTAGCAGCATGTAGACTCTTGCTGCTATAACTACTGTATTTCCATGATTAAAAGTACTCCATTTATTTATGGAGCCATGCAGCCACTGTCAACACTGTCATTACAATAATTCAAAGTAAAAAGCCTTGTGTGAACAAATCAGGGGATTCTGTCAACAGGCATGCTGTCAAAGGGCTTTTATCTTGAAAAGGGAACAAAAAAGGTTGAGTTAAAAAATATTTATATTTGAAATTGCACTGAAATGTGATATAACCTCAGTATGATTATCAAAAGAACATTTTAATTTTGCTGAAACTGTGCGTGTCACGTGGAAAAAATTCGCAAGACTCCTATTCTTTAGATGTTCCACAGCTGAGCAGCAGCTGGGCTGTGTCTAAAGGTGTGTTCACACCGGACCTGTTTTTTTTATTCACTAGAGACGAGTTTACATACAAAGTCAATGCAAACGGGCGATTGAGCGTATATTTGCCTGGGAGAAAAATTGCTCGGGCTCCAAGCGACAGCGACAGAGCGACAGAGCGATTTTTCGCTCGTCGCTTGAGATGAGAAATCCCATCTGGAGCTGTATTTTGCTGGGTCCCGTCGCTTGCAGCTAAACGCTGATTGGCTGCCGTAATCCCGGGTGCTTGAATGTCATGACATGTCAGCTTCATTAAAAGTATCGCTGCAAATTAAAAGCAACAATAGATGTAAAAACACACAGACACAATACATCTGTGATCAGTTCCCTAATTTAATTTTAACATTTTTTTCAATCTTCTCCAATTTCTCGTTTTATTTCATGGAAGTGATCAATGTAAGTGCACTTGTCCTAGAACCGCCAAGACAGTTTTTATAATGCAAATAATTCTATTTAGATAAAACTTACAAGCTTCTCTTCCTATGACTTTTCCTAAAAATGTGTCCTGTATGTTTTCTAAAGCCTATAAATTACAAAAATGAAACACACTAGACTTCTGAGCATTTATACCACAGACCGAAATTATACATTTTGATACATACAGGTAGGCTATATACATATTGCAAAACTCTGTAAAAGTACACCAAAGCATACATTTTCATTTCCAAATATTTATTTGAAAACAAAACCATTCATACTGTCAATGAAAAACCATTTTGTTAATAATAAAAAACGAATGTAATGTCAACAGTGACCACGCCAGCCGGCGGGACTGTGGCGCTTGGAGGGGCGCTGTAATCCTGGCAGTCCTCTTGTAAAGCACCACGGACAGCGCCAATGCATTTATCGCTGTGGCTCAGAGGCTCTGATGCCTGAGTCAGAGCATGTGAGTGGAGTTGGAGCTGGAGCTGCCTCAACCATAGGTTATTGGTAGGAAGAAAAATGGCTGCTGACAAAACTGTCACTGTCAACTGCCTCCAAGCGCGACCAACGACCTGCCAGACCATCATATGTAACTTCATTGTTTATGCTGCCCGTGTACTCAGAAGCACACAATGAATGCATTTTAGAGTAGCCTAATTTCCGAGAAGTTAAGATAAAATAAAAAAAAATATTACAGACTATAGAACAGGACTGACAACCTCTTCAATGTCTCAGGTTAATTAATTAACACTATTTGTAGGCTTTTTATAATGCCTTTTTTTTTTTGCTGCTGCTGCACTGTGTCTTCAGTTGAAAGTGGTGATTTGCTAAATACATTCTACAATAATAAATTAGATTAACGTTTGGTCTACAATATTGTTGGCTATATTATGCATTTTAATTAAAAAAACCCTTAAGAATAAAAGAAGTAAACATCGAAATAATTAGTGGAAACTTTTTTTTTATTGATACTCCTCTCTGACATACTAACAACACACACACACACACATTGAACACGCAATTGAATGAATGAATGAATGAATGAACATTGGAAGCGGTTCAGCCGCAGTCCCGCCGGCTGGCGCGGTCACTGTTGAGATTACATTTGTTTTTTATTATTAACAAAATGTTTTTTTATTGACCGTATGAATGGTTTCGTTTTCAACTAAATATTTGGAAACGAAAATGTATGCTTTGGTGTACTTTTACAGAGTTTTGCAATATGTATAGCCTACCTGTATGTATCAAAACGTATAATTTTCATAATTTTCAGCCGCTGCCGCGGTCGGAGGTATAAATGCTCAGACAGATGCATTGTGTCTGTGTGTTTTTACATCTATTGTTGCTTTTAATTTGCAGCTATACTTAAGCACTACTATTGTATTTTCATTATTCTTATTTTTTAATCATTTTAACATATTTCTAAAGTTCATCATCCTGTTATTTCTACATTGAATGTTATAAATATTATTAGGGTCTATGGATTCCTGAAGGAGAAAATGTGAGGATCCCCGTAGCCATCAAAGTTCTCCGAGAGGCCACATCACCTAAAGCCAACAAAGAAATCCTGGATGTAAGACTCCTCTTTTTATTCTCATTCTTCTTTCATCCACTGGTTCCTCCTTATTTTTTCTCATTCTCTTCCTCTTCTCCTTCTGCTTGTTGTTAATCTTTCTTCTTCTCACTTTGCTTCCTCCTTACACAGCCAGATTATCACTGATTTGTGGAGTCAAATTAATTATTTATGCATTTATGGACTGCAAAATCATGCTCCCAAAGGTTTTAATTATTTGCCTTTTCCTTTAAATGTGGATATAAAACTGTTTGAATTTGATGTTGAATTGAGATACATGGATACACTTCAGGTTTCACTTCTTGATCACTCGTCCCCATGTGAGAAAAAAACATTGATAACCTGAATTTTAATGAGTGAGCGAAATGAATAATTAAAGGGTATGAAACACTTAATTAATGGACAAAATAAATATTCTTAAGGCTCATCTAAGTAAATTTAGAGAGTAATCTATCAAACTTGATCCCTGCCAGACTTCTGCTTACCTCATCCTGTAGTTACATGGTCAGTTCATGACGTCCTGTGGTGATTGAGGACTTTGTGCTGGTTTTACTGAACATGTTTCAACACCAACGTACTTGTTTGTGTGTGTGTGCAGGAGGCGTATGTGATGGCAAGCGTGGATCACCCTCATGTGTGTCGTCTTCTGGGGATCTGCCTGACGTCGTCAGTCCAGCTGGTGACTCAGCTGATGCAGTATGGCTGCTTGCTGGACTACGTCCGGCATCACAGGGAACACATCGGCGCTCAGTGGCTGCTCAACTGGTGTGTCCAGATAGCTAAGGTGAGCCCAGATAAACGGGTTCAGTCTGACTGTAAATCATCTGCTACAAACCTGCAGCCCTTTGCTCATGAGCTCACATCTTAGTTTACATTTGTTTAAGAAGAAAAAGAAGATCTCCCTCCTTGCTCGTTCTGTGCCTGAGGCATCAGCTCTATCTGTAGCTCCTGTAAGCCTGTTGAGACCTATTAGCCTGAATACAGCGGGAAACTGTGTGTGTGTGTGTGTGTGTGTGTGTGTGTGTGTGGGTTGAGACAGTGTTAATCTGTTCAGACTGTTTTAAGTCTCACTTGGATTTTAAAGTGCTGGGAAAATCACAAACAACAAGGTCATGAGCTCAGTGTGAAATCTTTGTTGTTCGGCATTAAGCTGCCAGTTTACTCCCTCTGAGCTGTCGGACGGTGGAATAGATTTGGATTAGTGGGTCTGTGTCTGACAACTCCCCTAAGGCTCCATCCCATTTTTTATTTTTACTGTACCGTTGACCCTTGTTATCAAGTGGCCCTTTGCCCCAGAGTTACAGAGTTACAAGGGTTAATGGTTAAAATATTCCCCTTTGAAATGCTAGGCCGTTTTTCACTTGTTTCCAAACTTTGTCCATCTGCCATTGTGCTCGTGACTCAACTATCTCATGCCCAGTTCCTCATAAGGACCAGCTCCAGTCCCTGATTGGCTGACTGACCAGTTTTGCAACACATGACGCGTTTCCTGCCGTAAAGCAGATTTTTTCCGCGAAATTTCGGCACTGGTGGCGGAAGCTTATTACAAAAATTGCAAAGCCACTAAGTAACCTATGTAAATGCTGATAGTCTGATTTTAATGTGGCCACTACCCTGTGCAACGCACATTATTTTCATAATGATATATTTAGGAAAAGATGCTATCTGTTGCTTCTTTAACAGTAATCTGTATGACACAATGAGACAAAGACAGAGAGAGAGATGCAGGTAATGACAGTAGCTTACAACAACATTAATTAAAGTAATAATATTAGAATAATAATTACGGCTATTGTGGTACAATATGTTGAAAGTATATATTAATATCTGATAGTATACATGTGTGACAATAATCATATGTGTATAATAACAGTAGAAGTATGACTAATGATAACAGCAGCATAGGGTCGTCACAATACTAAAATTTCAAACTCGATATCGATACCCAGGAAAATATTCAATACTCGATACCATTTTCGATACAGAAGCAAAAAATTAAGAAGCATGTCATTTTTTAAATAAAGATCAGAACAGTAACATCAATGATAACAACAAAAAATTCCCCCCAAAATAAATAACAACCAGAAACAAGATCTGTCCATACAAATGTATTTATCTACAGCCCTGTTTATTTTCTGTGCTTCTGGTGAATTGGCACCATATTTTCGTTGCTGATCAAATAGAGTTGGTAGTTTAGGCTCAGGATGCTCCTGTTTCTACCTCACTATGTGATCAGAGAACCAGGGGTTACGGGAGAAACCAAAGTTTTCTCAGCTTCAATCTGTGACTTTACAGTTAACATAACTTTTCAGACACACATAATTGTGTTGTCCTGTTAAACTAACATGTCTATTAATGTTACAGATGGGCATGACTGATAAAGTTTTCTGCTTAGCTCCCTCATTAACGTTAGAAGTTATATTTTAGTTTGATGCTGGTGACACCAGCTGCTCAGCTGCTAGTGATGGGAGGGGCTGTACCTGCCGTCTGCAGCGTGCTGTGTTCACTTCACTAAATATTTCCAAAGAGCGCTTTTTCCTTTATAATTTTTGACCAAAACTGGCTGCTCTGATCCTCCTGCAGCCACGCTGGCCATATTACAGCAACAGGAATGTGTGCATGCATGCACATCGACGACAACAAGCCGGGTTGCAGCGAGGGCTCTGTGCCTGCCAGACGCTGCCTGCACAGCGTGTGTCCGTCGGACCTGTCGCGCGCACCCAACAGGCGCTGAGGTGGCGTGCACTGTTAGTATCGATACTTGTGTAAATTAGTATTGTATCCGGATACAGCGTTTGAGTATCGATACTTTTCAGAGTATCGATACTTTTGACAACCCTACAGCAGCAGGAGGCATCAGGCAGGACTATGGCAGCAGCACAACCACACACGTCACACTATCCAGGCACCACCGCGATATGAGTTAACTTGTGAGACAGTGGGGCACAAAGGCTCCGGAGAAGAAGCCAAGTTAGTGATATGCAGTACAGCCGAGTTAGAGAGGGAGAGAGAGAGAGAGAGAGAGAGAGAAGGAGAGAAGGTGCTCGGTGTATTATAGGCGGTCCCCTGGCAGACTAGGCCTAAGTCAGCCTAACTAGGGGCTGGTACAGGGCAAGCCTGAGCCGGGCCTAACTATAAGCTTTATCAAAAAGGAAAGTCTTAAGTCTAGTCTTAAATGTGGAGAAGGTGTCTGCCTCCCGGACCGCAACAGGAAGATGATTCCACAGGAGAGGAGCCTGATAGCTGAAGGCTCTGGCTCCTGATCTACTTTTGGAGAATTTAGGGACCACGAGTAACCCTGCGTTCTCAGAGCGCAGTGTTCTGGTGGGATAATATGGCACTATGAGCTCTCTAAGATATGACAGAGCCTGACCATTTGAAGCTGATGATTTGTCTTGTGTGGGCTACAGGCAACCTATGGTAGTTGTTAGGACACTCATGATTCGTTCACAACTTAAGTTTTGTGCTGTCAATCGATCAAATAAGTCATCAAATAAAAAATACTGCTTTATTATCAGACCACTAGCGGTGCTCTGTAGGCTAACATTAGCACCCTGTGCGTCTACCATGCCAGTCTACACTGATACTAGAGGAGCACTAACAAGTGAAGCAACTTTGCTGTTGGAATTTAGTTAAATTTCAGGCATCTTTTGCCATCACAGTGGAAATGCAACATGGAAATGTGTCACTAAGCAATGCACAATGTATCTGCTCTGCAATAACTAGAAACAACTGTAGAACGATGTTTATGCTGGGTTCTCTTAGACTCTTAACAGTGACAGTGACTCAGTCACTGTGTCAGATTAGGAGATTATGGAGTCATAATATCTTGCTGTGACTTGGCTGACAGACATGACAGACTAATTGTTGGTCTACCAGCAATTGTGCTCATCTTTCACAATATGTGTGATGGCATTGGGACATGTTCTTGTCCTATTTTTATTATTAATATTTTAGTCACTGTAGGTATTCGTGTCCCAGCTGAACTGTTTTTGTAGTAACATAATAAATTGCCACCAGATGGCAGGAGCTTCATTTGAAGCACAGAATGAAAACCATGCAAGTCAAGTTCCTGCAGATGTTTCAAAATAAAAGCCTATGTCCCTCGAGGGAACATTTAAAAGGCTGCGGTGTTGTTGCCATAACTCCACATATTTTTTGTACATTTCACAATTCTACCTTATAGCAGCACTTACAACATTGCTCCTCTTTTGCTTTGCCATGTTTACAGTTCTCCACGGCAGCAGATAGCAGATGTGTTCATATTTGTCAAAATCACGGCTGTGATGGAAAGAGTCGTGGAAGGCTGAAAAAAAAAAAAAAATCAAATATGCTAGTCTATTTATCGGGATATCATGAGGCATCCTTATCATGATACAGGTTGACCTGTATTGACCTGTGTTGACCTTTGACCACCAAAATGTAATCAGTTCATCACTGAGTCAGATGGACAGTTGAGCCTTTGAAGGTATATAGTAGTTTTCAGAGGACCTAGAACAGTTTGGTCCCAAAACGCTATATGAAAGGCACTTCAACAACACACTTTGGCAAAAATGTCCATCCTAACTCAACTTTACGAATAAATACTATTTTAATTTGTATAGCCAGCACTTTTCTCAACAGAGTGCTTTAACAAAGGACAGGAGAGACACTAGTAAAAACATTAAATTAAATATTTAAAAAAGGCATGTTTTTGTTCAACATTAAAATAAAATAGAGAAGCATCAATACAGACTGTGAACATCAAAGAAGACTCACTTACAGACCGGTTTACAGTCATGACACTCACTTGAACCTGTGTGTGTGTGTGTTCCTGTAGGGCATGAACTACCTGGAGGAACGTCACCTGGTTCATCGAGACCTGGCAGCGAGGAATGTCTTGGTGAAAACGCCAAACCACGTCAAGATCACCGACTTTGGCCTTGCCAAGCTGCTGACAGCTGATGAGAAGGAATACCACGCCGATGGAGGAAAAGTGTGTTTGTTATCCATATAATTGTATATATTGTTACCCTGGAAATAGAAAATACTGGTCAGGATGAATAATTCATGTAGAGAGAGTTTAGAGTTGTTGGAAGGTGGATTTTTTTTAGTTTTGATGAAACCACAGGGCTAACAGTTGGTTGCTTCCAGTCTTGTTGCTAAGCTAGGCTAAACTAGGGGTGAGTTTGTGTACAAAAAATCTCTAAATGTTTGAAGTGAGTAATTTTTTTCATGTAAATGTGTACACGGGTTTCACTGCTGGGTGGTGCTATTGCATTATACCAGTAAAGCCCCAGTTAGCCAAATACCAACCAAACGGGCCATTTAACCAACGGTTACAGGCCGCCACTCAGAAATATCGCCATTCTGATGGTCCGCCATCCCGAATTCTGGTCCCTGAGTCCTGACAGTAAGCTATGGCGAGCCTGTAGAAGCCGTATTTCCCATGCATGTCAGCAATTTTCACCGGGGACGCAAGCGAGTAATTCAGGCTGACATTACCTATTTTTCAGCGAACTCCTCTGGTAATTTTATTAAAAAGTATAGCATATACGCCCACAGTAAGTTATTATTATTATTATTATTATTGGGTCTTATAAGAGTGGGCTACAATGAGCACCGGACCATCAAATCACAGCATCCGCAGTGAGAGGACACGGAATTGTATGCACTTTTACGCACGCGGGTCTAGGCGATCACGGATATTTGATGTGGCAAAGATGTAGCTAGATGTATTACCTGTTTTTAAGCGGCACCGAGATACATGGCTCCTCCATCCGTCCATAGCACAAGTAATGTGCGCCACTTCACCACTGACCCGTGCGTAAAAGCGCAAACAATTCCGTGTCCTCTCACCGCGGATGCTTTGATTTGATGGCCCGGTACTCATTGTAGCCCACTGGTAAACGACCCCCTTAACGAACGCGCCATTTTAATAGAATGAAGCACGTACTGACCTGTTGCCAAACCCGGTCTGACACCATTTCTTGTCATATTCGCAGTCTATCACAGTCAGTCAACAATTAGTATCACCCCCTCCCCTAAAAAAAAAAAAAAAAGTTTTTCGTGGACTAATTTTTCATACCTGTTTATGATCTCAAACACGTGTACACGGACTCACCCCTAGGCTAAACATGCACAGCGATGATGTCCAGCTGCTCCTTTGTGATTTCCTAATATGTTCAGATGGTTCTTCTGACTATGCATTGATGTTTAAAACTAAACCACCTAGTTGTTTTAACCACAGACATTGGTTCATGGACGTCTGTTTTGAAGCCACGATTTTGGTATTTTGGCCGTCACCATCTTAGTTTTGTGGAGCCAGATGACCATAATTGGGCGAGAGCGTGGAGCTGTGATGGAGCGAGGGGTGGATCTGACTCACGGACTGTATTGATACCTAACAGACAGCCTGTCACTCAAAGAGACCCCACCCTTAATTATGCGTAACTCTTAGCCTTGATAAAATGTCAACAGGAGAATTATATAAAAATTCAGCTATGGAGCCCAAAACTGGGGGTCTATGAGGATTGACTCACTTTTGGAACCTGCCTCAAGTGGACATTAGAGTGGTTGTTGCCACTTGGTTTTAAATCCCTTTAAATGTCTCTTAAGTTTGTCCTCTCTCTATGCAGGTTCCCATTAAATGGATGGCGTTGGAGTCGATCCTCCAGTGGACCTATACCCATCAGAGTGATGTCTGGAGCTACGGTGAGTCAACCTCTGGTTCTCCTGCCTGCACAGGGCCCTGAGGTCACATGTAAGAAAACCTGCAGTAAGACTTGACACTGTATTCAGTGGTGTATTAAAGGTAGGGTCTGGAGGATTTTCCAGTTGCTGTTTGTAAACACACATTCAAATTTGGCCCCTCCTATCAGGCTCAACTCTCCCGGGTGTACGGAGCCCGGAGGTACGGAAGAAGGCTTCACAGAAGAGGTTCAGGCAAGGCTCGCGCTGGTGCACGCTCGGGCACGCTCGGGCACGGCACCTGCGCTCTCTCATTGGCTGGGGAAATCTCCGCCCAGAAGCGGTCCAAGCTCACAAAAACATCAAAATACAGTTAAAGGGCAGGAGCTCTGCAAACAGAGTCACCACCACACATGAGTAGAAGCCCATAGGTGATTATTAAGCAGGATTTCATTTGTATATGTCTATATTTTGTTTTGTTTGAAAATCCTTCAGATCCTACCTTTAAGATATTCCTCGTCAAAAATCAACAAGTCTCAGATGCATTTCACGCTCATCACATTTTGATGTCAAGATGTGACCAACAATGTAGAGCTTTCGTATTTTTATGTTCTTACTAACAAACTGCTGGTTTTCTTTAACAGCATCAACCAATCAGCGATCAGAACTTAACAACAGCAGCTAGCTTTAAACTCTGACGTTGAGATTTAGGACTTGTGAAGCCTTACCATTTGAAAAGAAAGCAGCCACCTGACATCTAACACCTCTGAGACGTTCACAATCACTATTTTCTTTTCTATGTTTGTTTGTTTTGTTCCTTTTTTGGTCCAGATTTAGCTCCAAACTAATGACAGGCGGTGTCATGCAACTATTCTGAAAGCTTATAATTCCAAAGCTCCACTGGACCCAAAGGCCATTTGTCCAACAGCTTGTTATCCCCAAAACAAACATACATTTCTCTGAAGGGAACTCTCTCAATTAGAGGCATATGGCTAGTTATTATGCAGAATGATGTCATCAGACCTTTGATGAAGGCATGACCCTGCAACAGGTACTAGCCAATCAGAGGCAGAGTAGGGCGTGTCATGCCTCTGCTAAGGTCCAACAAGGTCATTCTGTGTCAGCGCAACACTTTGTTTTTGCTCCCATTTTTCACAAGTTTAAGTTAAACAACAAAGACTTTTTGTGCACTCAGTAGATGTATTATTTCTCTAAAATACTGATTACAAATTAGTTTAAGTTAGTCAGCCGGTGTAAGCCGAACTTTGGCGGACAGCGCGCACACGTCACTAAAACCTCACAGGCAGGTTTCCAGAATGTCAGGCACATTAACGATGCAATAAATACCCAAAAAAACACTATTCAATGCAACTATCTGCAATCAGCACATAAATGTATCTCTATATCGACTGTCCCGTCACATGTGATGTCAGATCAAAGGGGATTGGCACATTTGGCACATTTGGCCCACGTAATGGAAACCCAGCTTGATTTGATTAACACAGCTGCAAACTAATGAGTTCACATCCCTCTCAGCCAACCACAAACAGTCACAGCATCAGATAGGGAGTATATATTCAGCATCTGTCATCTTAGAAAAGTCAAAAGAAAAGAAACAGAGTGAGACTGCAACAGAGAAAGAGAGAGCGCGCGCACGAGAGAAACACAACATTGATTTACAATTGTGGTGACCTCCTCCCAGGCTACCTTTGCATCATCAGCCCGTGGAGGTCCACTCACAGTTCCGTATATTCGGACACTGTGAGCTTGGACCTCCCGGACCAAAACATCAGTTTCCTCCTGGGAGAAGTCTGGCTGTCTGACGCTGCTGCTCTCTTCCGCCATGGCGAATTGAGTAAACTCTCATTACGCCTTTGCGCGGTGCATTTAAGGGCGAGGAGAGGGGCTCATTTGATTGGTGTGATGTGTGTAAAACCCACTCCACGCCTTCTCTCCTCCCTCTTTCCGACTTGCGCAGGTAGGAGGGACGGAGGTGGGATAGAGGAGTAGCTGCACCAGCGTGCACGGTGTGCCAAACTTGCAAAATCTGCCTGGCCACACCCAGTTGGCAAAGTGCAGGTGCGCTGCGCCCCCGCCTCGCCCAGTCTGCGAAACTAGAGCCCTAGATCTTTAACTTAAACCTGTGAGAAATGAGAGCAAAAACAAAAGTGTTACATTTAAATGTTTGTTCAATATAATTAGTCATGTGCATCTGTTTGGGAGAGTGTGTAGTCTTCAGAGCAAGGTACTATTGTTTTGTGGATACTGGGCTGTCGGACAAATGGCCCTTCAGTCAAATGGGACATATTTTGGACTACTGGGGGTCTGAAATTATGAGCTGTTGGAACAATGGACAGGGCCCTGATTGGTTATATTGCAACAACCTCATATCAGCTGTGTGAAAACATCACTTTCTGTGTGTCTAAATGGTTTAATACTGTTTCCTTAAAATACTCAAACAACCAGCTTTTTACTCATCAGAAGAAAAATTCTACCTTCTGATAACAGTTGTCTTTTTGGACCTGTGTTGACGTGACTTTAACAACCAGCGAGTCAATTTGAGTGGTTGATGGACTGTGTTCTGCAGGTGTAACAGTGTGGGAGCTTATGACATTTGGTTCCAAGCCGTATGATGGCATCCCGGCCAGTGAGATTGCCTCGGTGCTGGAGAGAGGAGACCGGTTGCCCCAACCCCCTGTCTGCACCATTGATGTCTACATGATCATGGTGAAATGTAAGAGCTGAAGATAGACACAACAAAGAATGACCAGCCATGCTAACAGCTCTTTTAGATTATTCTTAGAGCTAAATGCTAACATCAGCACGCTAGCATGACCACACACAGAGAGGCATATTGTCTGCTGCAGAGCCGTGCACACAGCTCTGGTCTTCTGGCAATGGGAAAATTGCCTGTTTTAAGCATAGTTTAAAAAACCTGCATACACCTGCTAATTTTGGTGGGAAAGGGGTTTAAAGGAGAAGTCCAGTATTTTGCACTTTGAGCCCCATTTCTTGGTTGTTTATGATGAAATAGAGTGGCTAAGACCAAAATAGTGACGATTGCTCATTTTCGGAGAATTTGGCTTTCCCCTGCCTGGCTTAACAGCGCTGCCTATGGCCATGTGTGAACCTGTCCTAAAACCACCCTAAACATTCATTTTCAAAGCCATGAAACTCACCGAGTGGTCAGTGGTGTTCTTTGATAATCTGACATAAAAATCGTAGCAAACTGTGGTTTCCGTGATGATTTATTTGACATTTTGTCTACCCCATTGATTTTCTATAGGAAGCCTCTTTGTCTGTTGGTAGTAATCTGCCACCGGAAACAGAAAGGGGGTTGTTTACAACAAGGTTGTAGTCATTGTAGTCTTTTAACTCAGCAAAAGTGCCGGATCGACAGTGCTGTGTGTGCTCCTGGAGGAAGAACGAGAACGAACGAAAACATTTTGTAATAAGTTTAAAAAACTGCAAAATGGATTACTCACTTGTAAACAACCTTCACAGTACGATGCCTTTGAACACAACGGCAACCTTCTTCTTCTGCTTCTTCTCTGTGTCCCATTATGTTGCAATGGTTTCCTGCCGGTTGGCGACACCCACATAAAGGAGCATTATCGCCATCAAGTGGGCTGGAGTGTATAACGCCTCAGGGTCAAACGAACGATCAAGTGGAAGTTTACAATAAAAACTTAAAGAACACGGATGGAAACCACAGTTTGCTTCAATTTTTATGTCAGAACATCAATGAACACCACTGACCACTGGGTGAGTTTCATGGCTTTGAAAACTAACGTTTAGGGTGGTTTTAGGGACAGATTCACACATGGCCATAGGCAGCACTGTTAAGCCAGGCAGGGGAAAGCAAAATTCTCATCATAAACAACCCAGAAATGGGGCTCAAAGTGCAAAATACTGGACTTGTCCTTTAAGTTTAGTGTTTGTTCATTTCTGTAGGTCAAAGACAATAGTAGGCCTACCAGTCTGGAGTGGGCCAACCGACATCCCACACTGCCAGCATTACTGAAAAGACTGCAGTACCATTTTAAAAAAGACAGCTGGACAATATTGAGTCCATATTTCCTCTCTCTCTGTCCAGGTTGGATGATCAACCCATCCAGTCGTCCCAGGTTCAGAGAGCTGATAGTGGAGTTCTCAAAAATGGCCAGAGATCCGTCCAGATACCTGGTCGTACAGGTACACTGAGAGTGTGTGTGTGTGTGTGTGTGTGTGTGTGTGTGTGTGTGTGTGTGTAAGACAGAATGACCTCTTTCGTTAAAGAACATAACGGTTCATCAGAACTTGGGTCTTATTTTGGTAGTTTTGTCCATTATTTCTATCAGTAATAACAACTTTGTACTCACCAAGTTAACAGCTGAGATCTGTCAACATGTTGATGTCACTAAAAAGAAGAAGCAAATGATCAAACAGGTTGGAAACAAACCAACAGTTTAAGATTTTCACTTTTTTAATTACCGTATTGATTTTAGTGTCTCATTTATGATGATAACATCAAATGTAAAATTTATAGCAGCAGGATTACATCACTCACTACATTTACATGCACACTAATATTCAACTGTTTTAATGAATATGACAACATTTTTAATTTGATAGGAGTCATGAAGAAACACACCTTAGGGGTGGGCGATATGGCTGAAAAGTGTATCACGATATAGCTGGTTCATATTGATTGATAACGATAATTATCAATAATGTTTTTTTTATAACCTATTCAAAATAAGGACCAGGAGAAAATAAATCAATTTTTTTTTTTTCTTAAGATATTTTTTGGGTGTTTTTGCGTTTTTGCATTTAATTGATAGGACAGCTGAGTGTGAAGGGGGAGAGAGAGAGGGAATGACATGCAGCAAAGGGCCACAGGCCGGAGTCGAACCCGGGCCGCGGCGGCAACAGCCTTGTACATGGGGCGCCTGCTCTACCACTAAGCCACTGACGCCCCAGAAAATCAATCAGTTTTAACACATTTATTTTAAACTCAATAGCTTTCTTCAGATTTCAATCACGGTAATCAGTCAAGGCACACGGAGGAAAATGTAATGTCAACACAACCTTTAGAAAACACTCAAATAAATGAACATACACAGGATGGTATAAAAACTAAAATAAAAAATGAACAGTTTTCTCTTAACATAAAGTAAAGCTAATAAATGATTTCAGGCAAACATTTCTGTAAAGATGAGCAGCTGAACAGAAGACTATGTACAGATGAATAAGTGATTCACAGAGTGAGGAAAGTGCTATGTAGAAATTAGTGCAAACCTGAGGTAGACTTGTAATGACATGTAACAGCTCTGCACACTGCCTTTGAATCGTCCCCCTCTTGAAGTCGAAGCTTTTAATCCTCTCTCTTTCTACAAATCTTTATTGTATTCTTTTCATATTTTGCCCACTTGTTAGCGAAGTAGTTAAAGAACCGCCATTAACTGCGCAATTTAAATGTGAAAAGTCTCATTGACTGACTGTCACCTGTGTGTATGCGGGGAAGGAGAGGGGCTGTGGAAACATCCTGCAGTTGAAAGGCGATGTTTAGAAAGCAAGCCCAAGAAACAAGCCCCAAAAAAAACTCAACCCGCGACTTTTTTTTTAGGGGGGGGGGACAATTTCATCTCTTCTAAATATTGCAGGGGACATGTCCCCTGCATCCCCCCCGGAAGTTACGCCTATGACAGAGCCTTTCCAAAACCGGACCCTTCCCACCCCCACTCCATCTCGGCGAGTCAGTGTGTTTGTAGTCACCTTCACAGCTGAATGAAGCACCCTACATCAAGGTGTAGGGTGTACACACAGCAGCACATTTTATATTCATTATATGTATTTGTATCACTTTTCTTTGATTCATGCTGAGGTTTACCAGAATTTTGGTAGCGTATATCATCCTTTTGGCGTTAAAATAAATAAATAAATGAATGAATCGATATATAAGTAAATAAATAATACATAAAAATGTATAAAACTTATCCCTGAGATTAGCTGGTGATGTTTTTTGTCTTTTACTTTTGTTAACAACTTCTTGTTTTTCACTTTGATGTTTATAAGCTGCTCATTGTTGCAACAGTTACTGTTTTATAGAGACTAGAGAGGTGTAGATTTGGTCCTAAATACACTGTAGCATTTAAGATGTTAACATCTGTATGGCAATTTTAAATGTCTATCTTAGTTTGAACAGTTAACATTCCTCAGGGTAGTTGCATGGAACTATATTTGTACAGAGCATCTTCCATGACAAACACAGTTCTGCGTTGCACATGATTAATAAGGCATCGGTGCAGGCTTGCTGTTGGAGGGTTTTCTAATGCACTTCCATTCCTTGCTAGTTGGTTTGGGACAGCACCTCAGCGTGAACACTAAATGCTGTGGAAATGGATAGGGAGAGGGTGTAGGGGGCAGTCTGGGAAAGGCCCAGACTGTGACGATATGAGCAAACACTTATTGAATGAAGTCAGGCTGTGTGTGTGTGTGTGTGTGTGTGTAGGTGGAAAGTAACTAATAACATTTACTCGCGTTACTGAGTAGTTTTTTTGTGTAATTTGTAATTTTTTTCAGTAGTTTTTGAAATCTGTAATTTTACTTTTACTTAAGTAAATTTTGACTGAAGTATAGTACTTCGCTACATTGGAGATCACATCCGTTACTGAGTAAAAAAAAAAAAAAAAGCAGACGCAGCAGTTGAAATGAACGAAAAAACGAACGAAACGAAAGAAAACTCCGTGTGCACAGTGCCGTGTATAATTGTCGGTCAGAAAAATACGGCCCAAGCCGCGCTCTTCTGTGCTCACCTGTGTCTGTCTGTGTGTATGTGTGCGCGCGCGCACGTGTCTGTGTGTGTGTGTGCGTGTGCGCTCATTGGGACCGAAATCCGCTGTGCGCGATACAGAGAGCAGAGGAGAATTGTAAAGGCGCGACCATGTAGAGACAGAAATGACATGCCGTTGTGTAAACACTATAAGTCATCACGTTATAAAGTGAAATGTTTCACCATATAACATGATAAATAGTATATTGTGATGTTATTATATGAAGCGTCTGTCGCTCAAAAAAATGTAACTTTAGTTTATGAAGAGATAAGATGGAGCCCTCTCCTCTCCCCTTATATGCTTTACTCACAAGTGTGTGAATTGACCTGGATATGAAGCGTCCACAGCACCAAATAATATAACGGTAGTTTCTAAAGAGCTAAGACACAAAAAAAAAGAAAGAAAAATAAATCAGCAGCAGCGGTCATATTTCAGCAGCAGAGCACCACCGTTGCTAGTTGCATATAGGAAAAACACTGTTGCTCAGTGGATTTGTTGTTTTGGAATACACAGTATTCTTCCAAATTAGCCTAGGGTTAGTGTATTTTTTTTATATATATATGTATTTTTTGGGGCAATTTCAGCCTTGGTTAGGACAGACAAGTGTGAAGGGGGGGAGAGAGAGGGAGTGACATGCAGCAAAGGGCCACAGGCTGGAGTCGAACCCAGGCCGCTGCAGCAACAGCCTTGTACATGGGGCGCCTGCTCTACCACTAAGCCACCGACGCCCCAGGGTTAGTGTATTATAATATTGAGAATTTCGCTTTGACAAGCTCTCTCTTTTTTGACCATACACCTGTTTGCATCCCTGAGAATAATGCCCAACAACATTGCTCAAAAAGTTGCTCTGTGTATCATCAGTCTAACAGTTGTGTTGGTGAGTCAAAATGAATGAGGGCTGCGCAATATTAGACAAAACTGACAATGCAACGACGATTTTGTATACTGTGATATGTATTGCAATATACAATGTATTGCAATAACTTGAATAGCTCTATTTGGAAAGAAGTCATCATTTGGGATTTGGAAAGGCTGTATTTGCATGAAATATACATTTTACAATCAAAGTGTCCTGGAAATTGAGAACTTCACAACCTAAAGTATTAACCAGCAAAATAAGTATGGCATATTGCCTTTGACTAATATTATATTGATATGATGAACTTATACTGCGAGTCTCACAATGTGACTATTGCACAAGAACACATTGCGATGCTCTAATGATATTGTGCAGCCCTAAATTTGATTGAATTCTATGGTTCATCACAGAAAAATAACCAGTTTTCAGGATTTACAGTATACCCCTTAAGTTACTTATACTCCCTACCTGGACCATTTTTGCTCTGCATATGAGTGACCCCCATCAAGTTGTTGGAAGTAACTAAGTAACTTCTACTTTAAGTACATTTTAGATTTTTAGATGGGTAAGTTAGCCTTACTTGTACTTAAGTAGAATTTCATCAAAGTAAAGGTACGTTTACTTGAGTAGAATTTTTCAGTACTTTTTCCACCTCTGTGTATGTGTGCGTGTTTATATAGAAGAAAAAAAATAATAATGTGCAGCCTTTCATCTGCAGCTCTAAATGTCACATGCACATAATTGTGAACGACAGTTTTCTTGTCAAACTTGTGCCTGTTGGTCAAAATAACCGCATTTTTATGTTGGTAAATTACCCAACCAAAAATAGCACTAAAAATGGTGAACGTAATCTGACTCCTGTCTCAGGGTGACCTCCCCAGTCCCACAGACAGCAGGTTTTACTCTCGCCTGCTGAGCTCAGATGACATGGAGGACGTGGTCGATGCAGACGAGTACCTGCTGCCTTACAAAGGACTGGATAACCATGACAACCATCCCTGCAACGCCACGGTATACACACACCTCTATTACAGTTATCAGGTCTGTATGACCTTTAATGACTAATGTTTTTGGTCTCTTGTTTTCTCTCTCCACTTTGTTTGAGTCATTGACATGATGTAAAAAAAAGTTGTGTCACTGAAGAAGAGATAAAATAGAAAAAACAGTAAATAAATAATTAAAATGATCTGTTGCATGAAAAGTAAACAAACTTTTTCTTCAAGTGTTCTGTTGACAAAATGTGCGTCCTCTGCTGCCTCTGTTTCTTCATGTCAGAACGGTCATCCAGTCAGAGAGAACAGTATCGCTCTGCGTTACATCACCGATCCAACTCACAATGCACTGGATAAGGAAGACTTCACCAGCCATGGTATACATCTGTGTGGATTACTGACAAAATGTTATTATAATTGATAACAGAACGATTAAGAACCTAACAGAAAACAATGTGACACGCTTGTTAAAATAAGAAATGTAAAAAACACTAAGTCAGCATGTGGTAGAGTGGAAATGGTTTAGCTAATTTGTGAATGATCAAACATTTGTTTATACAGAGCAAAATGTCACTCAGTGTTTCATGAAAAAAAGACAAGACACATGAAATAAAGACTGAAGGACAATAAATAAATCAGTGAGTAAATAAACACACAAATCTTTTCTCCTTTTCTCTCTTTCAGAGTACATGAACCAGAGTTTAAGTGAAACCAGCTGTAGCAGCAAGCTGCCGGAGGTTTTAAATCCCAACTACGAGGACCTGAGCCTGGGCTGGGGTGCCGCCTCGCACCCCTCCCTGCGGGAGGATCCGAAGCCTTTCACCCAAGTTCCTGAGGGACCCGAATACCTGAACACTGCCCAAAACTCGCTCCCCCTGGCTAACAGCGACAGCCTCAACAACCTGGACTACCAGGCCGACTTCCCACCACAGGCAACGCCCCCTAGCACCAACCCCACCACTTTAACTGGGAACGGTCTTTTCCTGCCGGCAGCAGAGAACCTTGAGTACCTGGGTCTGGGTGCTGCACTGCACACCCCCGTCCGCTAGAGGGCAGCAACACTCAGAGAGTTTAGACTGATGCTCTGAGGCTTCTGTGGCTGCAGACAGTATTTAATTTATCTGTTTTAATTGTAAAAATTTCCAGGAAATCCTGACTGGAACCCGCACGCTGACCAGACAACAGTTACTGAGGAAGAGGAGAGCCAGACTTTAAGCAGGGATTCAAACCAACCTCCTGCTCACAAAGTGGATGTTTCTTCAACTTTTAAATGGCTGCATTCATTTGTTTGACACTTGGAGTGGGAACGTGAAAACCAAACAGTCATAAGCTGTTGAGATGGAAGTCTCTCAACAAAACTCACATAAACTCTTCAGTGTCACCTGAACAGTGATTTTAATTGGTACATCCCGGTCCCTCAGATGGTAGTCTGACTCACCAGATGTAGACTGTGGATGGAAACCTGCCAGTGCCGTCTGCGTGTTACTGTTTCCAAATGCCCTTCACTATGGGAAGCAACAACCTTTGACAGCTTACACACCGAAAAAGGCACATTTTGATGAAGGTTTGGATCGTGTAATAAGACACATCTGCTTTGTTGTTTCAGTGAATTATTTTAAAGATCTATAACGAATAAAACCACTTGTGAACGCACCTCAGAAAAATCCAGACTTACAGGACTCTCATGCCTGATGTTGATCTGTTTGCTGATCTGCTGACACGGTCAGTGGGAGTTAATTTGCCACATTTTAACTCTAGCAGCAGCACCTCCGCTCCAGTGACAGTTACTTCACTAACTGTACGTTAGGCGGAAATCATTCATTTTCAATGAGAGCCTGGAGACTTGGGCGACTTGGGCGACCTGGTCGTCAGCCGCGCGTCTTGGGCAACCAAAGCGACCGGAGCGGAGTTAAAACTCGTTTAACTTTATGGTAATGAGCTCTGACACAGTTCGGCGACAACCAATCAGAATGCTGACGTGCTTTGATGAAGCGGGTCACAGAGAAAAAACCATGTAATGTAACTTTGGTTCCTACAGCACACTTGTTCCAACAATGGATATCGAGAAGATTATAACTTGCGTTCGCGCCCACTCAGTCCTTTATAATATGTTGCCATTCACTTACAGAGATCAAAATAAAAAGAATGAGGCTTAGGACTGCGTCACGGATATAGTTGGTTGGTCTGGGGAGTTATAGGGCCCTATTTAGATGGTCTAAAACGCGAAGCGCCAGGCGTGCGGCGCATGGGCGTGTCCCAGTCACTTGCCAGTTAGACAGCGCGTTTTTAGACTGTGCGCCATGGAAGAGAGTCTAAAAGGGTTGGACTTAATCTGTAAATTAGTCATGGGTGTGTTTTGGGCGTATCATTCAATAAGCCAATCAGAGTGTCACCTCTCATTCCCTTTAAAAGAGGCGCGATTGGAGCGCATGGCGGAGAGCTAGTTAGATGGCGGACCTACCAACTGGAAAGAGTGAGCGTTTTACAGCCGTTTTACAGCTGAGAAGACGGATCTCCTCGTGCGGGAGGTGAAGGCCTGTCAGAAACAGATCTACGGGGACAGCAGACAGGCACTCAAGCTCCTTGAGGTAAAGCAGGCGTGGGATCACTAATACAAGAAAGATCTTACTAAATATCTGTGGAATATTATTCAAACCTGTTTTCATCATATAACAGAGCACAGCTGTCAGGACTGCCGCGGAGCTCCCCAAGGTGCTGATCCTGCAGCTAGGAAAGAGTTTATAAAAGAGTGCTTAGGATTCAAGTTGACGTGCGCCCAAAAGCTGAAAATGGCGTGCGCCAAAAAATAATCTGATTTATAAAACCGTGTGCATGCACACTTGCACGCAATGTTCTCTTCTCTTAAATCACAGACCTCCTGGAGTTGTGCGCACCCAGATCTGCCTCATATTCCGCCCTCTACACGCCCTAGTTAAACCATAAATGGTCATGCAAATCACCTCATGAATGCGATCTGCATATAAATAAGCCGGCATGCGAGTGTTCTCTAGTTGTGAGAAACAAAGAAAAGAGTGAGAAACAAACCAAAAAACGAAATTTCTCTAAGACTGAGCTCGAGACCCTTTAACGGGAGGTGGAGGACTGAAGAAAGATTTTATTTGGTGGCCAAAGCAGCAGGATCACTAATAAAAGAAAGCGAAAAAAAGTGGCAACACATCAGCGCTGCTGATGCTGTCAGCTGTGTCTGTGGGACTGCACGGACAGTGACAGAGAAAAAACAAAAGTGGTCTGATCTAAAGGTAGACCAAATACTTCTACTCCTTTACCAACATGTAGTTAATGTGTTGCTTTTAAATTTGAGGATGTTTGACATTGATGTGCAACATAAAGAATCACATTTATTAAAGGTGGAGGCAAAAAGGAGTATGTGCCAGTGCCATCTTGCGCAATTACGCACAAGGGTCACCACAGTATTTATATGTTTATGGCAATTAGTCTGATCAGACACCCGGACTGAATTACAGCATGAACCAGTGGTATCCCTGTCCCAAAATACAACGTGTAATTTGAAATACAATTCAAAGATTAAAGTGTAATAGGCGAACATGTTTCTTCATGCCGGTTTTGTCATGAACAGCACATGTCTAAGTAGGGCAGATGAAATCAGTGTGACGGTTGTGCTTAATGGCTGTATTTCAAGACATGATAAATGCACTGGAAATATTTAGCTAAATAAATAAATATATTCCATGCAGTCGCGCCGTCCTCTCCCCCTCCTGCGCTCACAGAGTGGACAATGAGACGTTAGAGGCAGTGCGGATTAAATACGTATTTAGAAAGAATTTCAATTCAGGATTTGAGTTGGATTTTACAACGTTTTTATGAAACAATTATCACTCACTCCAAGCGCAAAATAAGGCTGCTGGATTTAATTTCAATGATAACTTGGATCTAAGGTGGATATAACGTGACATTAAATTTGTGTGAGACATCAATAAAAATCTGACTCCACTTCTCCACCTCGCCGTCTGCGTTGCCACTTCCCAGTGTCTTCCAAAATGTGCGCACGCATGACTCAGAGTTTGCTTACAGGTGCGCACATTCTCCCGCCAATTTTATTTTTATAAATCACAACCTTTGCGTGGTAAGTGGCGTACGCCACTTTCAAGCCCTGTTTTGTGCGTAAGCAAGCTTTATAAATGAGGCCCCAGAACACAGCATGAATTAGTTAGCCTTGTTAGCAGGTTAGATGAACCCTGTAGAACAACCAACATTACTCAAACTGTGGCTTCACAACAAATTTCACATTTTGGGGGGGGGGGGTAAAAACGTGTAAACTGCATCGTTAAGGCAGACGAGTGGAGCATTAGCTGGTAAACATCACGTTTATACACTTTACACAGAATTAAAATCAAAACTGAATTAAGTAAAATATTTACTGAATGTGTTAGTGTCTGTTAATGAGTTGTAAAAAATGGTAAATCATTTTTCAGAAGATGTAGATGTTCATCGTAAGCTAGCTCAGGCTCTGTTAAATTTAACAACATGCTAACATAGCAAGGCAAGCTAATCACTAACATGCTCATTTAAAAAGGAAAACAACCAATGCCTTGAGATGGCTGTCAGAGATGACAGAGGTATGATCACGTTACCCTGTCTGAAGTGTTACAGGTGCTGTATTCCACGTTTTATTTAAGAGGTTTAGCGTACCGTTACCTAACTTTTACAACTGGAAAACACCAGTTACAATTCAGCGCCAGAAGTTGCACCCATAATTCACACAAGGATCATGGGGGCTAGGAATATGGTGGATATTTTTCTGAGAGTTGTAGTTACAATTAATCATGCAACAGTAAGTGCGTTAATATCCACTTGTTTTTATGCACATTTTTAATTTCCTGTTGTATGAGGTGCAAAGGTTGGGGTGTCAACGAACACTTTAAAAGCTTTTTAAAGATGGGCAGTAAGTAACGTTCCATAAATATGGGCACATTTGTTTCTCTTGTGATCAGTAATTAATGTCCTCAAGAACCTGAAGAGTAAACAGTCTCTCAGCTTCCGTACATTTGCACTAACAGCAGCAATGAACAGTAACAAGCAGTGATAGTTAACAGAGTCAGTGTGCAGTAACAGTAAATCAGAGTTTGGCTCATTCTCATCAAGTAAAGGAGAAAATAAAAAAAACTTTTTACACTTAAGCACAAATTCATCAAAGCTAGTACACGTAAAAAAAAAAAACAAAAACAAAAAAAAAACAAATGTTAATATTTACATCATCATTCAAGAGCTCACCTGTCTAACACAAATACTGTTGGTCCATCCAAACAGTCACTGCCCAGTGGATGGAAACTCGTCTTCTTCTTCTACGTACACAACAAACCAAAGTAATTAACTCAGCCAGCAGGAATGCAAATAAAACTAAACCCAGGTGAGAAGAAACTTTCAAAATGTCCACAGCATGAAATAAAAACCTTTCAGCTTCAACAGAGGAGGAGTCTTTGAGAATTTGTTCTCCAGCCAGTGGCGCCCCCCAGAAATTGGGGTGGCTCACCAATACCAGAAGCTATCACTGAATTTCATGAATTAGCTCATGTTGTTAAAGTATAAGTATAGAGGCTAGTTGAAAACTATGTTACTGTGGAGAGTCAGGGAATCACATACTGATGTACTTTTGTTTCTTATTTTACAATAAATGTTACTAATTCTCTGATGTGCATAGACTAATAAAGGTAAGGTTATCATTTTCACTTCCAAGACAATCCTGTTTTAATGTGTTGTGTATCTGTATTCGGTGATTCATTGTTCTTCAAACAGGCTAGCCATGCCAGTGGTTCCCTGCAAAAATTTTGCCTACATTTGGAGGGTTATTCAGCCTCTGACAAGCTGTGCCAACATGGTTGGTGCCAATCAGCCCGTTCTCATTCTGAAGTTGTTGAATACAACCGTGTTGTCAGTGATTTCAGCGTCAGACGCCTGACGGCAAAAGCCACCTTTGGCGACGGTATGTTATGCCACCAGGTGGCATCAGGTTGAAAGGATGCCGGCAACAACATAATATAAGAAGTTAGAAAGTCCCTATGGGCCGGGTGGGAGGGTTGGTGGATGAGTCCAACAAACCCTGGACTTTGACCCAGGAGCCTGGTGTTCACTTCCTGTATGAATGTAGAGCCAAACCATGATGTTTCTTTCCAAACCACATGCCTTTGTTAACATCCCAGTATTGGTTGCGGCGTCATGGAATGTCAACAGCAGACACAGGAGGATACCTCATACGTAATATGCAGACATGAAAGGCCACTGACAAAGCTGCGATATGTGATGACCTGGCATGAGAAGGTGTTGTAACAATGGGTGGTTAGGCTGTCTAGATAAACCAGATAAATTGTGCCCAGATATAAATGAGTGTGCTGCCACCCATTGAATTATTTTCTTGGGAAGGGGGGTTAGTGCCACCAAAGGTAAAAAAACCAAAAAACAATACTCTCCTCTGCAGCGTTTTTGCAGACGCACTGTTCCTCTGGAATTACTGCTCCTTGAACTCAACACTTTTGATGGACCAAAGTTTTAAAAGGAGATGTTGTGACTATTTAGAAGATTGAGTGTTAAAGATTCCCCAGCAGCGGCACTCGATGGAAATACAGCTACAAATACAATTAAAAGTTTAAGATGGGCAAAATATTTAACCATATCTAAACGATATGTTGTTATAACAAAAGTTTTTCTTACTTAAAATGGAATAATTTGGTATCTAACAACCAGGACTTACTTAAGTTCCCCTATTTAGCATTTACAAGCAATAACGTTTCAGAAATAATTCATAACAGACTGGAATGTAGCTGTAAGTAGATCTAAGTGTTTGTTAACACTACTATAACTAATCCTGTGGATAGACAGAAGTGGAGGCTGCTATATAAACAGATCATGAATGATAATATAGTAAAGCAGTTTAAGTTATATAAAATATATCCTCATAGGAAAATTTAATTGTTTATGAAAACAAAATTAATTAATAAACATTTAAAAAATCTCATAGCTCCTTATAACTACATTATAGTCTGTTATAAAACATTTATTAAATGTTTGCCAATAAATGTTACATTGAGGTGTTACCATAACATGAGAAATATCTTCTTATAACGTGAAATATATCTCATTCTCACAGAGATTTAAAAATGTCTAATAATGTAACACGATCGAACGTTCAATGATTCACGTGATGAGCGACTAGAGCGCCCAAAGCTGCCACAAATATTTTTGACAGTCGTGCTTCTTGGGTGTCCGTGAGAGACTTTACCTCTTTGGAAGCTTCTGGATTGAACTTACAGTAAGAGAAAAACGCAGGTTGTATCTTTAATTTCAGTTATTTTGTGTTATTGGTTACTGTAGCCAGCGTAACTAGGTTGTGATTGGGTGAGATGGAGGTGAGGGACTCTGAGGGAGAGAAGTGCAGAAAAAAGAGGGAAAGCGAAAAGAAAAGGAGCAGAGAAGAGAGGAGAAAAAAACAGTACGTTACTTTTAGTCACACACTAGATTGGAGTGAGTGATTTGTGTGAATGTTTTTTGAGCTAGAATAACGCAAAGTTGTCGTAGGCAAGCCGCTGAAGAGACGACGCCATTTGCTGATCGCTCGGACAGTACAGTGAGTGTTCTGTTCTAGCTAAAGCCAGCTAACAGTGGAGGGATGCCGGTCTTACCTGGGACAGGACTGCCTGAGTGTAAGCTAAAGACAGCTAGTGAATAGAACAGGATTGACCTGTTGACTGAAGGAAAGAGCTTGAGTGTGATTTGGCTGTCTGTCATCGGTCTCCTTCTGTCCCACTGAAAGTAATTACGATAACATTAGTTATAAATCATTACAATCATTACATTATCAATAAATGTTAGGACGTGATTGCTCTTGACAACCATACAAGACTAAGGACAGAATTGAAAAAATAATTTAAAGCAATAAAAGCAACATGCTGTTTCACCAAGATAAGGAAAGACTAACATATTTAAACAAGGCAGACAACAATATATGTTATATACACATAACACATAGTTAGGCCTATACTGTGTAATAATACATTTCTATCATATAATTATGCTATGTCATTAATATACATATACTGGCCTGTATACATATATAAATACATACTATCCTTATCCACATCCCTTATATTTAAACTGTGCAGTGTGTACATACTGTGTAATATTCCTGTGTGCAATATTTTGCAACTTCCTGTGGGATATCTATACATTTCTATATTTTCACAGTAAAAATACTACACATCATGTATATTACACTTATCCTGTGCAGCTATTAATCATGAGCATACAGTATCTGTTTCAGTGAAAGGTGTATATGGATTTTCTATTATTTTCATTATGTCTAATTTGTATTTAAAAAATATTTTATCCTTTTTCTATTACCTCTGCTCTGAGCTCTGAGCTGCTGTAACGTGAATTTCCAAGGTTGGGATTAATAGAGTCTTACCTAACTGTAAACTAACACTAATCCTCAAATATTAGCACATTTTACTTTAAAAAAACAACTGTTTTTACATGATGTAACTGTTTATGGCGTGCTACACATATATTATAAATCAATGTAGTTATTGTCAGCTACTTACCATAAATCGGAGTTCTGTCTCTCAATATTATGTATTTAAACGGCCCGCCAGTAACTTCCGGGAACTATCGAGGTCTACGGCCCTGTGTTCCAATACCCATACTACCATACTATTTAGTATGCCAGAAAAAGAATTAGTGTGTCCCAATACATAGTATGTCAGATGCAGTATGCCAAAAGTACCAGGATGTTCTACTACATCCGGTCATATTTCGCAGTATGCATGTCAGCATGCTTCTTTGGCCATTCTGACCCACAATCCTTTGCGCAGCGGAAGTTACGTCACACTGACTGAGCTGCGTGTACAACCAACGCCCACACTTCCTTTCATACATGGTTTATTTAATCTGAGATACTAAGACACTACATATTAGGACTGCAATGATCTGATTATATACTGTCACATATCATACAGTTTTGCAAGAACACAGTTACAACATTCAACCTTATTGTTATTATAGTATAATCAATGTTAGGGTTCAACTATGTCTACAATATAGAAGATTCTACCAGTATAGGCAGTGGTGTAAGTGTGGTATAAATAATGAATGAATATGACTAAATATGAATACACTAAGGACCAGGTATGAGCAGTAAAGACAAATAAATATATAAATAGTAAAAGTCAAAAACATATAAAGTAATGTAGTAAAAATGTGCAAATATGTTACACTACAAATAAAAGTAATGTGAATGTAAGGCTGCTTCATGTGCAGACAGAATATAGTGCCAGCAGCTGCATAGCTGTAAATATATTTAACAACAAACATCTGCCAGCAACAGAGAGCTATGTGTGAAGGGGTTAATATGCCTACTGGTGACTAGTTCAATAGACAGGTCACTAATAATAGGCTTGGGACTGTTTACGTGAACACGTCAGTTTATTAGAAACAACAACATACATTACAACATAACAGCGACAGAGCTCTCCGGCACCTCCAACGGTATGCACGACTCTGGCGAGCTCGACGAGAGGAGATTTGCTGCATCTCCGAAGTACAACAAAACAAAATATTCAAATGTGGTGCTACGGACGGCAGCGGAAGTGAGCAAGAGGGTCGGAGTTCAGGGAGCGATGGCAGATGTAGTGTGTCCCAATAGTATGCATACTGCATGCATACTGCATACTACACTAGATACTTTTTAAGGGCAGCTGCAGTACATACTAAAAGTATATAGTAGAAGTATGGGATTTAGCAACAGAGTTGCCTATGGTTTCGTCCTACTGCCACCATTTTGGACTGTCAGCAGACCGCAGCAGACCCGCTTGCATACAAAAACACACAGAAAAACTATGCTTACAGTGCTACTCACCTCGTGATAGCTTGGTCACAGCTGCTTTTTCATGTTTTTGTAAAGCAAAATATAGACTTAAAAAAAAAAAAACGAAGAAAAACAGCCGAGATGGCATCTCTACATATTACATCCACTTAAGAGAAGATTAACTTAAAGGTAGGATCTGGAGGATTTTCAAACAAAACAAAATATAGACATATACAGATGAAATCCTGCTTAATAATCACCTATGGGCTTCTACTCATATGTGGCGGTGACTCTGTTTGCAGAGCTCCTGCCCTTTAACTGTATTTTGATGTTTTTGTGAGCTCGGACCGCTTCTGGGCGGAGATTTCCCCAGCCAATGAGAGAGCGCAGGTGCCGTGCCCGAGCGTGTCCGAGCGTGCACCAGCGCGAGCCTTGCCTGAACCTCTTCTGTGAAGCCTTCTTCCGTACCTCCGGGCTCCGTACACCCGGGAGAGTTGAGCCTGATAGGAGGGGCCAAATTTGAATGTGTGTTTACAAACAGCAACTGGAAAATCCTCCAGACCCTACCTTTAATTACTCCTTCAAAATCACCCCATAAGCCAATCTACCAAAAAATAAAAAAAATAATTAAAAAAAATCAATATTTTAACTAGAAACACATTAATGGCGACATCACATAGTCAGGAATAAAGATTTATTTACAGTTTGTACAGTAAGGGGACAGTAATAATAATAATAATAATAATAATAATAATATATAGGCTATTTTAATGCTAAAGCAGTAATCAGTTCTGATATAAATGGTCCAAGAGGCCATATATAGGCCTATACATACATACATACATACATCTTCCCACGAAAACTGGCATATTAAATTGATATTAAAACACTTTAAAACATACACCTCAGGAGTTCTTACCTGTCGGGATCCTACGGTGGAAGGCCAGGTGCGGGGTGTTCCACTGATAGTTGTTGCAGTTAATTGCACTACACTGTTTCTTTTTTTCTCCTCTCTCCTTGACATCTTGCATGTTGTCTGGGCGCAACACTCCAAGCTCAACAGTCCAAAATGGCGGCAGCACTACCGCAGCGCCCCTAGTGGCTGTTAGCAAAAATTCAACGGAGCTTCGCCTCTTGGTATTCATGCTCTTTGTATAGTCTACGGCACTGCTACATTATTAATAAAGTTTCAACGCCGATTGGCCACGTACACGCACATAGGCGGATCTCCATCGTAAACGTGCATTCCAATTGGTAAGTACATTCTCTAATAATCTTCGTTGGACAAATCCGATTGGTAGGCGGTTCACTTTAGCCAATGGAAGAGCAGAAGAGGACAAAGTGGGCGGGAGCAGCGGTGTAAACATTCACAGCAGTTTGTTTGGTCTATGCTAAGCTAACTAACTCGTCCCTACCTCCCTCCGTCCTGTCAAACTTTGGACCTCGGTCTCTGCGATTAAATGGCCGGCGTTGCCCTGAAGTTGTTCGCTCCCTCACGCTTGGTCAAATTAAGAAGGTGAGGATCACAGCTAATGTTAATGCTGCTGTCGTAGTGTTTGAAGCGGATACTGGTGCACTGACGCTCACTAAATTTACCGGGGGGTTCAAACCGGTTTATAAACTCATCTGACAGTTACAGCTGCTATTAAGCTTGGCTAAAGTTTAGTTAGAACTCTGAGAAAGGCAGTTAATCAGTTAGTTCTTGTAAAGTTTAAGTAGTGAGCCATTATTATTCCACTTACGACACATGTTATTAACAATGATAGCAAAGCAGAAGCGTTAGCTGTGGTTCCTGTGAACTTTGCTCCAGATACCATGATGAGGAGGCTCTGACATAACCTGATATTCATTCATTCATTCATTCATTCATACATAACGTTACATTTTTTCTTGATATTTCCAAATTTGTTCCGCTGATGTTCATGCACAACGATCAGATTCACAGTTAAAACAACTCTAAAACACATTCAATGACCGAAAAGGAGCAGAGAGGAGAAACTTCATATAGGCCTAGACAAGTTATTTTTTCTTTATACATTATCTTGAACTGTAGAATATTTATTTAATGAATATTACATACATTAAAAAGCATTGTATTTCATGTCTCCAGCTGCTGGTGGGCCATCACAAAAGAGAATGCATGCAAATATGATGTTAATTCCACCACAGAAGAGACTTAATGATCACTACAATTAGATGGAGAAGAAAGTGGATACATCAATAAAAGTTATCTGCCATATACATTGTCATATATCGGCATATCAGCTATTGGCAAAAAATCCAATATCATGCATCCCTAGTGAACAGTACAGAATTCTTATTGCCTTGTAATCTAATACATACTTTGTTTTGTCCAAAACAGAAATATTCTTAGACTCCTTTGTCTTTACATATAGAGTATCATCCATTATCACACCCCAAAATCTAAATTGAGATGCTCTTTCAATATAAACTCCATCTATTGACAGTGAAACCATGCCACCCTTTTTTCAATTAGCAAAAAACCTTAGTTTTGTAAACTTTTAAGGATAACTTAAATCCATCAAAGCATCATTTAAACGTCCCATTTTCTGCCCATTTCTGCTCACAAGTTCATACTTGTATTTTAGGTTTGTACTAGAACATGTTTATGTGTGCTTTGTGCTTTAATGTTCAAAAAAACATTATTTTTCTCATACTGTTTGCCTGAATATACCTGTAATCACCCCTGTCTGAAACGCTCCATTTTTTTTTATATCTTTATAGGCTGTTGCACTGGACTTAAATCTTGGGTCCATGTTTGTTTCCTGTCAGCTGATGTCATAGACAGAATCACAATGTTTATTTACAATAACTTACAGGTAGAAAATCCTGACTGCAACACTGCATTAATTAGTTAGGTTTATTCACCTGAAAAAGTCAGAACAAAAAAATGTCATTATCATTTTAAGTGTACGTCTTATTTTTAATATTTTCACCACTTTACCTTGCTGACACAAAGACAGCCCTTTCTGACAGGGAATTGAAGCCGTTCTGTCAAAGCCACAGACTCCATAGACAAAAAGTAATTTTACTTAGCAGAACACTGGAGTTGCTGGTCTACCATGGCGTCTATCAGTGTTTAAGGTAAAACGGAGCAAATACTCAAATATAGTGCGCATTTACAGTGATGCAATTTTTTTAGCTAGCTAAAATTTGTTTTGCTTTGGCCCTGTCTTCAGCAGTATATCATTCAGCTCCTGTGTTGGTAGATTTGGTTTATCAAAGATAATAGCAAAGCAAGACACATCAGACAGGACGGACCATTGTGTTTAACTATATATCTTTAAACGTTACAGTTATGGCTGAAAATGACAACAGAAATAAATAACTTTGACAATTTTACATATCTCTATTGTGAACAACTGCCTGGTTTGTACCAGGAAGTGACTGTTGTTGTTAGGGCAATGTAACACTGATTTGGTCTGTTCACATACACTGCAAAACATTCCAACAACAAATACGAAAGGACCAATTTAGAGTGATTATATTTCAAAGGTACAGTGTCTGAATATGGCCTAAGTGTATTTCTCTGTGGACATCTTGTTGCATTGTAGCGTTATACACATAGTTTTGTATTTCTAACCTTACATACTAGTTTTATACATAATGTAGGCCTGGCATAATGCACATATTTTTTTATATTTTACACACTTTACATACTCTGCACACTATACATATTTTATACTTTTTAATAATTTACATACTAGCATTACACAGAACCCATTTTCATTCAGATATCTTGAGATGAGATGTCAAGGGACCTCTGTGAAAACTGCCATGCTGTATGTCCCTTGGCAAAATTTAGCCTAATATTAGAGCGTTATTTAGCCCCTTTTCTGAGAAGCAACCATTACATGGTTGGTATTAGGGGTGTAAATCACCAATTTCATCACAATTAGATATTATATCGATTATTTGGACAACAATATGATATTTTCCAATATTAAACAATCTGCCATGATACGGTTTTGATTCAATATGATTCAGGGGCATGCGATCGATATTAGGTGATATTAAATGCCCATTTAACACAGTCTGTTACAGAAGAAGCTGCCACCCCTTTCTTTTTTTACTTTTGGTCATAAAACACATAAACAACACATAAATAATGAGTACAGTAAAGTTCACTTCAAACTGACTCCACTAACACAAATAAAACAGCAAATGGGATAAGTTAACCTTCAGGGCTTTCTTTCAGAGAGACCTTTATGTAAAAAATCTTTTCATTTTAAACCAAACCATGATCTTTTTCAGAAAACTTCAGGAATATCTGGCTTAAAGCCCCAAAGGAAAACTTCTCCAAACAGTCATAAAACACAGATTAACAACAAGATCATTCAACAAAAGTAGGGGTGTGCCATCTAAGGTACCTCACGATTCGATTTGATTAGCGATTCAGGGTGCTACAATTCTGCGGTTATAACAACTGGCGATGCGATTACAATTCAGGGTGCTACGATTCTGTAATTATAATGATTATCAATGCTTTTTTCCCATACAGGATAGATTTCTTTCTCAATCAGTGGCTATTTTTTACTTTTAAAACAATGTACATTTGTAAATATCAATTAAATCAAGGAAACAAAATATTTACTTCCATCTTTTATTTACAAATGGAAACACTCACATTTTCCAGGGAAATAAAGTGCATTCTTCAAAAAAAAAAAAAAGACTTTCAGTCTGGATAGCTTAATTTTCTGGCTGGCGAAGATGAGTAACTGCACAATGTGCACACACATAGACCTGTACAGGTAGCACATACATACACAGACCTTCTGTACAGATAACACATACACACACACAGACCTTCTGTACAGGTAGCACATACACACACATAGACCTTCTGTACAGATAACACACACACATTCTCTCTCACACTCTCTCTCTCTCTCTCGTTTAGAGTGGGTAATTTTTTTGTGTAAACGTGTACACGGGTTTAACCACTGGGTGATGCTATTGCATTATACCAGTAAAGCCCCAGTTATCCAAATACCAACCGAACGGGCCATTTAACCAACGCGGCGTTTTAATAGAACGGAGCACGTAGGCTACTGACCTGTTGTCAAACCCGGTCTCACACCATTTCTTGTCATATTCACAGTTGTTACCGGCCAGCCCTTCGCCTTAAGACGGTGGCCGTGTGGGTGTGAAGTAGTAGATGTTGTGGGAAGTAAAGCGGCATATAGAGTGTACGGACAGGAATGCACCATAAAAATAGTACTGTTCATGCTACGGGTGGTTGCAGTCTGTTTACAGTGTTTAGATAGGATCCAGTTACAGCATAGTCGCTGTGAGAAGGCCCTGCGTTATGCTATGTTTTCCTGCTGTAGAGGAGAAATAAATGAGCTTCTGCACGGACGTCAGTTCTGCATCCTCATTCTTCAAGCAGAGTTGGTCCGGACTCCTAGAGCTAGTTACCAGCAACGAGCCAAGTTGTAAAGATAATCTACAGAAAAACCAGAGTCTCCCAGCTATGGTTCGGAGCGCCAGACTGGAAAAGGTAACACAGTTAGTCAACAATTAGTATCATATATACATATATATCTATATCTANTAGCTCATAACCCCGCAAGAGTCCTGTGATCGGGGTCGTAATTCGGCACTTGTTCCATCTGAACGTAATGATCTGTTCCACCTGAGCGTAATGAGATTTGGTACGCGAGTGGTGGCACAGCCGTCACGTGATCGCGCTACACCAATAAGGTACCCGCATTTAGTGTCGCCATGGTTTCATTCAGCAGAGGAAAACAGAACAGAAAGTCCTCAAAAGTGAGCAGAAATGAGCTGAAACAGCGCTATTCACATCGCCGTGTCCATGAAACACGATGAGACAAATAGACAATAGGGCCGTAACGGTACATGTATTTGTGTCGAACTGTTCGGTACGCGACTTTCGGTTCGGCACGACCCTGTACCGAATTATTGGGCGCAGGATATTATTTTATTTTATTTTGTTTTATTTTAATTCCGTATTTAACTGTATTTTGATGTTTTTGTGAGCTCGGACCGCTTCTGGGCGGAGATTTCCCCAGCCAATGAGATGCGGGTGCCGTGCCCGAGCGTGTCCGAGCGTGCACCAGCGCGAGCCTTGCCTGAACCTCTTCTGTGAAGCCTTCTTCCATACCTCCGGGCTCCGTACACCCGGGAGAGTTGAGCCTGATAGGAGGGGCCAAATTTGAATGTGTGTTTACAAACAGCAACTGGAAAATCCTCCAGACCCTACCTTTAAGCATGTCTGCATTGCATAAATTAGCCCTAGCGGCTAGTGGACATTTTTCCTCTACTCACAGTTTAACAGATTATGTGTAATGTCATTATTATTCTTACTCACCGGTGGTTAAAGTCGCTGCATCTCCTGACAGAACAGCTCAGTAGAGTTTCAGTCTGCATGCATGGTTTTTCAGCTGAACATTGTTAAAACAGAGCAGCTGATGTTGCTGAAGCAATAAGTTATCAGAGTGAGACGCGCATCCAGGCAGGTATCGTTACGTTGTGTTTTATCTAGTAACATCGTTATTTACATACGGCATGAGCTCTGTCTGTTGTCCTGTATTTTCTCCGAAATCCAAAATATTTCCACTCTGCTGATTTATTCCCGAATAAATAATTTTATCCTCATGGTCTTTCAGTTGGCTGCTTGCCATCTGCCTGCTGTTTGATGGTGACACAGACTTTCAAAATAAAAGCCTATGCAAAAGATGATCATGTGGATTGATGTTTTCACTTTGCATCAATGATATTGGATCATTGATCATTAAATCAATATATCAATCTAGATTGACAGGTCGTTACATCCCTAGTTGGTACTACTGGATTCCTTAGGTCTTCTTGTTTTCTTATGATACCAGTGTCGTCACTCAGCCATCTATAGCCTTTGAAACACAGGTGGCAGCAAAAATTGCACATGATTAAAAAAAATAACGCTTATGTTCAGACCTTAATCACGTCACAGTTAATGCATTAACGCTGACAGCCCAAATATTTGGGGTCTTTGAAAAGTCATGGAAAAGTTTTGAAATTTCGTCTATGAAAATGTTTGCGGACCCAGGGTTTTGGACTTTTGGTTGACCAAAACAAGACATTGATGTCATCATAAAATTGAGTATTTCAGCTATGAGATACACTGCTGTTTAAAAGTAAAGTTGATGTTTTTCTTTTTTCCCTTAATAATAATGATTGTAACATAGAGATAAAAAAAACTGTATGATTGAGACACCAGGCATGTTATTGACATTTGAAAAGGAGCAGAATGAAGTTAGTGGATGTCTCCACAGTGTCTTATGACAGGGCAGAATACTGTGTGAACTTGGATGTTGAATTTGTTTTCAGTGGCAGTCAATCATTATTGAACCACACCTGGGCTCTAAATATTGAGTCAGTCCTATGTAGTAGACTCAGTGGTTAGACTGAAGAGGTTTTAACTGTCAGTGTGTGATCTGTTCAGCTGACAGACTAACCTTCTTTTTCTTTTGTGAAGTTTGAAGAAAAGAGAGTGCTGATACTTGAGCTATCAGAAACATTTGGATCAGTGTATCCCTATAGTCCAGCTGGAAAGGTGTCTTGAATACATATAAGAAATCAGATAAGTGTAGAAAACCAACAGTCATGTGATTTTCTTTTAACTGAATTCACTGAATGTTTTCCTCTCTGTCACCAGCTTGGTGAGATTAGCCACCATTCCCAGTCTGACGTTCCACACCACAACTTCTCCAACGATGGGTGAGTATCTGCTGCAGCCCTGTCACCTCAGTTCACTTGGACCCTAAAAATGTTCTTTTTTCACTGTAATTGACTCTTCACTAAGTCCTGCCCCTGGACGCAGACTTGCCAGTCATAGCGTATGTATTGGCCCAGCTCAGACCAGGGTTCAGCAACTGCACAGTTGTGCTCCATTGACTCTGATGTAATTGTTTTAAATTGTCTTCATTTTCAGGCTGGTTTTGTTGATTTCCAGCTAAATGTTATGCCTGGATCACATTGAGTGTTAATGATACTTGTAACCTTGAGAGGTTTGAAGAAGACATACATTTTCTCCTTTTCAAAACCAAAATCAAACCCTGCAAAGTGTAGGGTTAGCTAACTAGCTACTGAAGATATAGTCTACTGAATGTATGCTGCTTTTGCTTTTTAATGATAATAACAGTGGAAAAAAAGACCTACCCTGCTGTACAGGAACCAGTGAAGGTAAGCAGGGAAACTTTGCTGATATTGAGCCAGCTCTGTGCCATCACAGTGTGTAGATGAACAGTGTTTGGCTTCTCCTGGAGTTCCTTGCCTGTCCGACGGTGGAGGCCCAGGTGCTAGCGGTGGCATGGCAGAAAGGAAGCCAAACACCGTTCATCTACATACTACTTTATGTTTATTATTTCTGTTATGTGGTGGTTCACTTTTACACTGTTATCTGTACGTTATCCTTTAGCCTTTAACTGTCTTCATCTTTTGAACACTGTTTTTGCTGCTGAGTCAGTGTGACATTCTGGATGTATCCTTCAAACACATATTGTCAATATTTCCTCAGGGAGTACAGTTCATTACATTGTGGGCTCCATGCTCACTCTGACCACACAAAGGTATGGGGCTTCAACCAATCATCAACCAATTCATCCATAAGTAACCACAGAAAACTCACTGTTAATTTCAGTAATTTATCAAGCACAACTTGTCAGGTTTTAGTTTCTCCAATATGAAGATTTGCTGATTTTATATCATTGTAAAATGAATACCTTTGTTTTTTTCGTTCTACTTTTTTTAGACATTTTATATTAATCAATCAGTTTAAACTTTATCTGTTACTCATTTTTGACAGTTGGGACAAAAACTTATATTTCTGGGTTTTGATTTTTACTCTTCAATTATGCTGGAAAATAGATTTTAAAAGATCAGAGTCTTGAATATTAAACCTTCTAATTGGCCAACCTCACATTTTTGCAGCTGAAGACTTTTGTCAACACCATTGGGCACTCAAAAAAGTCTTCGTACCATATTAGAAAACATGAAGGAAATTTTCAGTGTTTTTGTTCTATTAAATATAAGACAATTTAATTATGTGTGTAATCAATCAATCAATCAGTCAATCAATTTTATTTATAAAGCCCAATATCACAAATCACAATTTGCCTCACAGGGCTTTACAGCATATGACATCCCTCTGTCCTTAGGATCCTTGCAGCGAATAAGGAAAAACTCACCAAAAAACCACTTTAACGGGAGAAACAAAAATGGTAGAAACCTTGGGAAGAGCAACTGAGGAGGGATCCTTCTTCCAGGACGGACAGACGTGCAATAGATGTCGTACAGAACAGATCAACATAATAAATTAACAGTAATCCGTATGACAGAATAAGACAGAAAGACAGATAGAGACAGAGAGAGATGCAGGACAGACGCTAATGACAGTAGCTTACAACAACATTAATGAAAGTAATAATATTATAATAATAATTACGGCTACAGTACAGTACGTTGAAAGTATATATTAATATATGATAGTATACATATGTGACAATAATCATATGTGTATAATAATAGTAGAAGTATGACTAGAGACATATAAAATATAAAATAGTACAGAAACATTAAAAACCTGGAAGCACATCGAAAGCCACTTTGAACATAAATCTCTTTCTTTTTGATTGATTTGATTTTTACAGAAATCAGCTGTTACAGAAAAAACTCGAGACTTTGTGACCAAACTGACCAGCTTTCAAACTAAATGTTAAAAAAAAATAAAAATGGAGCAACACGTAAGGGTCAGTCAATAATTCAAGAGAACTGAGTTGACAGAAAGTTATATATTCATTAACTTCATAGTAGTCATAGTGAGGAACCATTTTATTTTTCACTGTTGTCTTAATGTTAATCAAAATACTAATTTTTAATCATTAATAATAATACACAAATATTATCTGCACCTCAACCCTGAGGACATTTTAAAACTGTTGATTGACTTTCTTAAAGATTCCCAGTTTGAGCAGACTTCTTGTTTGGATCATTATTGGTGATGACAGTAATGTCTGTGTGTAAGTGCAGGTGCAACGGTGGAGCAGTTTGAGCAGGCCAAGAATAAATTGTCGACGCTGAAGAACGACCCGGGCAACGAGGTCAAACTGAAAATCTACGCTCTCTTCAAACAGGTGGGACATTTAGAGAGGCACTGTGAGACAGGTGTTCTCAGGTAATCAGAACCATTTATTGTAAAGTGAGATACAATATAAACTGGGACCAACAGCTGTTTTGCAGAATTGAGTGAAGCCACAGAGACAGAGCTGTCTGATTAAATCAATCAACAAAAGAAAACCTCGGCCCAGTTCCAACTAAAGGTCACAGCTTATTGGCTGCTCAGATACGACGCGTCTCCACTTCCTCCCACTGTATAAAAATCAAGCCAAAATCTCCAGATACAGCTGCTGCCATCTTGCAATGGTAACATCATAAAAATGATTAAAGTCAGATAAACAGACTGAAAACTTTATTTTATTAGGTAAAACTGATGTTGACAAAGTTTTCCTTGGGGAAAATAATTTGCAGTTGGAAAAAAAGGTAATAAATCAAAATATATTGCAATATATTTTAACCCAATACTTGGCATATCACAGTAATATTGTATCGTGACCTAAGTATCGTGATAATATTATATCATGAGTCCTCTGGTGAATTCCACCCCTGACCAGGGGGTGATCTGGATGTTTTGGCGTCACATTGAGGGAGCTGTCATGTCGTCTGTATAGCGGCTAAGCCTAAACTTGAAGTCACTGAGGGGCTGCATAGACAGGCTACTTAATAATTAACGCACTCGCCTCACCAAACCGACCGCTGCTCTTAGATGGAAACAAAGAATCCACTTCTTCTTCTTCTTTGCTGCATAATTTATTTATCACCATCATAGTCTTGAACAAAACATGCAAACATCCATAAATCTGTGTCCATATACCATTCAAATACATAAAGTTTACCAATACATAAGCCCTGTTTCGTTTTTGGAACTGAAAGTACCCTTCAGACTAAGGCTGACCAAAAAATTTGAAGCTTCGAAGCTTCGTTTGATGGCCCAGGATTCGATTGTGAAAAAAAAAAATTGAATATTTGGCCTTTTTTTCTCCTGTTTTTTTTGGGGGGACCTTGAACACAACACTAACCCCATTGGGCCGAGTAAAGAAGTCATCTGGTCTGATTGTTGCATGAATTGCCTAAAAAAGTTTCACAGTAAATCAGAGAACAGGGATATTATTATTGCCATGGGTTATTTGAAATGGACAAAGGTATTCTTCACTGGTGAGTTAAGGGAGAATAGCTATCATGTAATTAAAAAAGAAAACATCTCCGACAAGGAAATAGAAAGCCCGACGTGCAATGAATGGAGACCTATTATCCTGCTTGAACACAGACGACTAAATTCTTTCAACAATGTGACTCAAAATAATGATAAAATAGATTTTATTGATGTAAAATAATATGCTGATGGTGACATTTTCCACCGGTCCGCTGCGCTCTGAGTCTGGTGTCAATGACACATGCTGCTCTGAGTCGTGCATCTGTCTGCTTGCGCTGCAGTGCGCGCCAAGGGTTTTAATTTTTAGTGTTTTTAGCAACCAGAAGTGTTTTTTCGTTTGTGAATATTTTTACCTTTATTCTAGGGTTGCAAGAAACTACCTTTTCCTTTACTTCAGACATGGTACCTACACCCTAGCGTTTCCACTGCAAACCGTACCTTTTAAATGTGGGTGGGGTTGTTGTCACTCACTGCTCCATCCAGCACTCACTGTATTTCCTTATTATCGGTGACATAGAGGGAAGTCAGCACCTCGTTTCTTGTCCACAGATCGAGGCTGCATGCTGACATTTTCAGAACAAAAAAGCTCAAAACAAAACAGGCTGCAGTGGGAGTCTCTCTCCTTGGGATATTTAAAAATAGCGGGTTTGTGCATTTAGTCCTTCTCAGGCAAGCTCGGGGGTTTAAGGTGTGTTGATTGAGTGACATCGTCAGCTCGTGCATTGAGTAACATTACGAGTTAATGTTCCACCTTAAAAATCCTGGCAGTCGGCCCGGTGAATGAAGTTATTTTTTTCTCCGACTCCGGCTGCTGCAAGAGGCAGCAAAACATCCTTTCATTGTATATTTACAGTTTACTAATTAAACTCTCCACAGTCTGAACAGTGGCTTCTGCCTCAAAACCAGCCACAACTCATCCCTGAGCAGAGTGACCCAGCATGGTTCCAGTGGTATCATCCACAACTTTTCGCAGTGGAAATGGAACTGAAACGTAACGTACCATACTGCTCGGTGGAAACGGGGCTCTAGAGCACCATACACCTCACTTAATGTGGCCTGGCGTTGCGTTCAAAAAAACTATGTGTGCTCCCGTCGAGCAACACCTGTCTCTCAATCAATAGCTCCTACCTATATTGGCAGACACCCATACAGGACAAATCAGCAACTAAAACACATTTTACACCATGAATGGCTCCTTTTGTCTGTCTTTCTATAAAGTCTATGTTTATCACACCCACACAATTATACTGTCTGTAGTTTCGTACAGGCTACGTTACCTACAAGGCCACTGCCCTTAAAGGTGAAGGTCAAGGTACACATAGATATCGAAACATAGATACCTCGCCACTGCTGTGTGTTGCTGCTATGTGTGTCTGCCAAGATCCGCAAGTAAGCAAATAGAGAATGCAGATGATTTGTAAATCCTTTTTGACCTATATTCACTTGAATTTACTACATCCATCCATCCATCCATCCATTTTCGTAACCGCTTATCCTCTTGAGGGTCGCGGGGGGGCTGGAGCCTATCCCAGCTGACATCGGGCGAGAGGCGGGGTACACCCTGGACAGGTCGCCAGACTATGGCAGGGCTAACACATAGAGACAAACAACCATTCACACTCACATTCACACCTACGGACAATTTAGAGTCACCAATTAACCTATCCCCAACATGCACGTCTTTGGACTGTGGGAGGAAGCCGGAGTATCTGGAGAGAACCCACGATGACATGGGGAGAACATGCAAACTCCGCACTAGGGATGGGAATTGATAAGATGTTATTGATACCAGTGCCATTATAAATTCTGCCTATCGATCCGATTCTTTATCGATTCCCTTATCGATTCCTTTTCTGTGTAGAAAAAGTATACCTTACAGGTTTTTGGTGTCAACAAAATCTTTTTATTGAATTTCAAAATAAGACAGATAAGTGCTTGTGAAGTAAACAAATATGAAATCGGTCACTGGATCCTAGATCTCTGGACATAAATAAAAATAAATTAAAGTCCTTACATGGTCACTGGATGCTAGATCTCTGGACATAAATAAAAATAAATCTCTGGACAGAAATAAAAATAAAGTATTTACATGGTCACTGGATCCTAGATCTCTGGACTGGACTGATTGGACTAATTAACAGTTCTTGCTCAAAAAGATAAGCATGTCAGCTTTTTCAGGGAGGATCCTTGATCTCTCTGGGCTAATTGTGTCTCCAGCTGTCGAAAAGACCCTCTCAGATGGCGTTGAGGATGCTTGAACACACAAATATTTACTTGACAGCACTGAGAGCAGGGGCAGTGTGTCTTTTTTCTGCCACCACCAGAGGGCAGGGTTGGCGGACAGAAATTGGAGGTAGGCCTCTGTACAACTGGACCTCATGCTCCACTCTGTCAATGACGGACTGGCAGGTCTGCAGTTGTTGGACCGTCTGCTGCAACTGCTGGTCCTCTACTGGAAACAGCTCCTCCAAGGCTGACTTTGGTTTCTTCACAGCAGGTGTAATCTGAAATTATATGACGATATTCTAATTTTAGTTTCATATTTTAATCCATGCAATGCTCATGACATTTTTTGACACTTCACAGCAAAATGTTCTTTTTCCATTTATGACAGTAATACGATATGATCATTATAGTGAACTGAGCTTAGCTTACATCTTCTTCCTCCTCCTCCTCTTCATCATCACACCATGGCTGACTCTGTCTGGCGACTGCCACTTCTTGTTCTTGCACTGATGGCTTAAGAAGAAACTGACCATGAGTATCAGTTTTCCATGTATAGAACAAGAGGAAGTATCACAATAGTAGTATGCTATAATCAAATTACTATCATACCACCCTCTTCCTCCACTGCAGTATTTGCTGCTACTGCTGCTGCTCTTAATTGGTCCCAGATGGCATCCGTATCTTTTTTTAATTTAAACCTTAGGTCCATCACCGTAGCCTCCTCCAGAAAGGCGTGGACTTCTTCATCCTTAATTCAAAAAAGAGAAAAGGAAAACACATCCATATTCAGGGTATGAAATTAACAAAATATTTTGGGGGCAATTTTGGCCCCCACATTCTAAAAAATGGGGGCATTTTTAAAATGATTGGGGACCATGGAAAAAATTGTAGTTAGAGCTTGGTTATTTTTATAGATTAAAATGCACAGTGGTTTCTGCCAAGTTCCAACGCAAATAAATGAAAAGCATACGATTTCTTTTTCAGAGAGAAGTGTGCAAGTAGTAGATATGACAGAAAGCAGGAGACAGCTGTAGGCAAACTATTTAGGGTTTATTTAGCTCTTAACAGCCTGTAAATATTACACAAAACCTTAAAAACAGTGCAATGCAAACAGATTGTTTCTTTAAAAACTGTAGGTCTATTAAAATAAGATAATCAAATTCTTTTCTAAAAATAAGCACATGAAAAGCAAAAATAACCACAATAGTGTCTTTACTCTTTAGTATAAACCACTAGATATAAAATAAACAAGACTCAGCAGTGTCCTCTGCTGGAGACCTGCGGTGGTTTCTCCATTCGACACAACATGATGATGAATTGCCTCCCATAGACCTGCTTGCGTTCGCCACAGATAATAATGGGTTCCTTAAAGTTGTGGTTGCTAAATATCACTCTGATTTCCTATAATTAAACCAGTTTAAATTTGTTGATTTAATCATTAATCTACTGATAGCAGTACTAATAGAGAATGTGAAGGTACGTCACGCCGCTTTGCATTGTGGGGCATCAGTGCCATCTTTGGAACGCGGGTGTAAACAAAAGCGAGAAGCCAGCTCTTCAAGCCAGCTCAACATTTGAAGTAATCATGTTTTTTTTATATTTTTATATTGTTTTGTTATATTTCTCCCTCTCCCCTCT